AATATAATATAATATAATACTTTTTAAAAAATAAGAGATATTGTTAGAGTTGTTAAAGTAGGCTACTTGATCTAGATTAGTCTGACCTATTATTAGTTGGATAATATGTGGGTCAATCTAACCTTGTTATTTTTTGGTTAGCCTAAGAAAAATTAACTTGGTCTCGACTTATCAATAGTCGATGCGTTAAATAAGTTAACTTACTTTAATTAAAATAAATAAATAAAATATTGAACTTTATATATATATAAAAAAAATTAAAAGACGATCTTAAATCTTTCAAATTTTAAAGTGTTAATGCTAACAAGCAAAATGTTAAAAAAAAATGTTTTCAAAAATGTCTTCAAAATATCTTTGAAAATGTTTATCAAACAAAGTATATGATGCAAATAGATAATATAAATTAGACGAAATATACAATTTGTCTTATCTAAATTAAATATTTATTATTTATTGAGACTAACAACAAAATTTGTATTGAGTGGTTCATTCTTTAACATATCAAACCAGAAAAACCATCTTGGAACTTACAAATCTATTAAAGAGAAAAATTATGTTTTCCATTAGAACTAAGATCCATGAAATCACGAAGAAAAATAGATAAAGTCACAACTACAACTATTCTGAGCTGACATTGCTTCTGTAAGTTCCATTTGGCATGAAAAGTTGATAAGTAGTTTTATTGATTAGATAAGAGGTGTCATTTGATGAAATATATTTAATATTTGTATTAAATGAGTCAAACAGTTTCCTGCCAAGGAAAGATGATGAAGATAGACAAATTAAATGTGTGTTGGACTCAAAATGTTGCAACGGTCATCTTTTTCAAGCTAGTATATAAGAAGATTCAAAACTTAAGAAATAAAATATGCACAATATACATAAAAGACTTGTATAGAAAGAAATAATTTCTGTAAATCATACTTATTCTTTCTTGTAAAAAGTTAACTGCTTTATATTAATTGTATAATGTCTAAGTAAAACAAACACAACATATGTATAACCTTTATAATCATTGTTATAAGGTTGAACCAATAGAGGCTTGTTTGTAAAAGAATACTTGTTTTGAGTCTGAAGAGACTTGTTTATAAAAGAATACTTGTTTTAGCTTAGAGGCTTGATTGCTTGAATAAACAAGTTAAATAATACTTAGGATTGAGTCATAAGTGATTTGTTGAAAAAATACTTGCATCTTTAAGATAATGGAACTCAATTTGGTTAGATTGAGAATTGGATGTAGTCTTAATGATTGAAACGAATCAGTATAAAAATACCTAATATTCCATAAAAACAATTACATAAAAGATATACTAGGTCGAGTAATTTGTGAGCCAACCAACGATTGGGTCCACCATGAGTTAGTCTGTGATGAGTTTACCAAAATTTTCTTATACTTAAAATGGATCAAATTTTTTTTGACTCAATCCAACTCAAACGATAGGTTGGATTGGCTCACAAATTATAACTCATTTTGACAACTTTAGATATTATCATAAAAAAGTAGTTTTTTTAAATTATATGTTTAGTAAAAATAAAAAATTTGTCATTTTATCTTAAAGTTTCACTTCCATAATATGTCAAATATATAATTATAATAAGGTTAATTTTGTAATTTTCAATAAATATCTATCTCTATCCATTTTCTTTGAGGAAAATATTGTATTTTAAATTAAGTAAAAATAATTATCCTTCAAATATTTAAGAATTTGATTTTTATTTTATTTTATTTATTTATTTATGTTAATTTCCTATCCCATAAATTAGTCTTTAAAGTTAAATTTTCTTTGTTAAGTGATTGTGTATGCTAATAATTTATAATTAACTTATTTATTAATATTCACATAACTATTTAATAAATGTCAAATTATATGATATACATAATTTTTCTATTATTTATGGTCAAGCATTCTCTCTTAATAATAAAATATGTATTAGAACACCTCTTCATAAAATATGTATTAGAACACCTCTTCACTCGTATGTGGCTATTAAAAGTCAATTAAATTATCCTTTATTAAGATATATTATCATTTAACAAATGATACTTAACTTAATAAGGATTAATTAATGTGAAAAAAGTAATAAAAAACAAAAAGTTAAAAATTATTTTTAAGAAAGACTAAAATCAAATTCATAAAAGGAGATACTAAAAATTTACTTGATCCTATACTGAATTTTCTATCTACTCTATTTTTTTAACCAAACAAAACCTGAAACTATTTATTGTCTTTCACTCTCCTCTCCTTTTCTTTCTTTCTTTCTCAAACTCTATTGAAACAACAAACAATGCGTTAACGTAATACTCAATCAAAGTATAGAGACTCTGTTACCAAGTACACATAAACTCAAATTCTTATCATCATAAAGATACTCCACTTGCTTAGCTTAATTTTGAGCCGCAAGATGATGATGGTTGTGTAAGTCTGAATGCATGGGAATAAAACTATAAGATGAGGGTCACACGTGACTGGGCTTGGCTGGGCCTGGGCCTGGGCCTGGGCCTGGTGAAGTGTGATGATGCCAGCACTAAAGCGTACACGTCAGAGACAATCTTTGACCGTTGATTAGGTTCCCAGGATGCGATTTCCGCCGTGGATTTCACTTCTGACATGCCATCCTCTTTCTTGCTACCGACAAAATGACGTATCCACGCATTCACATGCTCTTTACTCGGTGGACCCCACCTCACTTTTTCCACTTGACCATTTTGCCCCTCCCCGCCGCATTCTCTGCGTTTTTTTTTTCCGTCTGTTCACATTTGCGAATGTCGTGGCATTATGTCATCTCAACTAACAATCATTACTGCATCGCATAAACGTTACTCATCTTTGACCACTCGCCTCTTACGTAATTTTGGATATGTGATTATGAGGAGGGAAAATGCTGTATCCTCCGTTTCCGAAAATAAGAATTATTTTTTTATCATTAAAAATTGGTTATCAAAATTTTTTATATATAAAAAAAGGTTCTTACACATGGGATCCACGTCATGTTACTTCAATGGTAAAATTTGTTTGAACTGATTTTTATATTTAAAAATTTATTTTTTTAAAAGCATATTTAAAAACTTTATTAAGAATCATCATCGGAGATGGTCCAAAAGTTATTTTTGACTTTTTTAGGCTAACTCATTTAGACTTCATTGTGTCATTATTACTTAACTTGTTTTTGTCACCTTTAATTTATTAAAAATGAAAAGAAACATTTGATATCTTAAGAATGTAGAGATTTTTGTTGGGATGAAAAGAGTGAGAAAATAATAAAAATTAGAGCGTAAAAAAATATTACTGAATATACCAAGTAGTGGTGAAATTTAATCGAGGTAGAGGGGCCCAATTCTTTCAATCGGTATCAACAAATTACCTTTTCGTGTTACTTATTTGTTTCAACCATTGGGCTTGCTCGGCCCATTTATTCATGGTGAGACATGCAACTAAATTTGTCATGGTCTAACTATACCAAACAAGCCCATGCATATCATCACTCCAAGTCCAAATATAAATTAAAATTATGTAAAAATGTAGATATTTTCATGAAGCTAGAAGCATAAAGAGAAAAAGGAAAAAAAAGAAATTCATTAATCGTGTCTAATATGAATTATTATGTATAATAAATTTGTTACCATTTATAATAAATAATTAAAAAGTCATACTAATAATATGAATTGTAATTATTTGATGGTATAAAAGTATTTTAAACAAGCATATATAAATAGAGGGTGAAGATGTTTTCGTTTGGTAAATGAAACAAATTCAAAAACTGAGTGCGAGATGCTTAAACCAATATCAACTGGCTAGCTCCTTAATTATTTTTAGTGGGCTTTATTACACCCCTTTTACTATAATCCAAACCAATCATATGTTTTTATTACTGATTACCACCCAAATCTTTTTAGAGATAAAATATTTCCCTGTTCAATATTTTCTACCGGATTAGGGATAGTGGGCGAAAATTGAAGATCATACAACCAATAAACATTTAACTGGAAACATTTAACTAACGTTTTTAAGTTACGAAGCCTAGAGATATACCTATGATTTGCCAAAGCATATATTACTAGTTACATTTCCAGCAAACCCATAGAAAAAAAAAAGACTAAGGCTGCTATATAGCCTTTATAATTTGTAGTATATGCTTTAACAACCAGTCTCATGCTGTTATTATATTGAGCATTGATCACTTCCCAGAAAAGAAGTAGCTTTAAGTGTTGAACAATCCATATATATGTATAACCAGTAAAATACCCACAATTAGTTTCACAATCTAAATTATAAACCATGTTGTTTTTGTTAATTAGTCAACATTGGTATACTTAATTGAACGATTTAGCTTCCAATGTATAAATTGGAAATGGCTCTATATTTTAATAGTGTCATTCTCCTTGATCTCCTTTTAACCGAATTAGGTTTTCCAAGAACTTTAGAGTTCTGAGTAAAAAAAGAATAATTTCTTGAATCACATGAGTTTATATGTTGGAAGCTTTTAGCTCTTTATATGCATTATAGGTAGCTCATCTTCCATCGTTTGTTAATTAGTCAACTTTAAAACAAGTGATTCGATGCATGTAGTTCATATAATATGGGTCTCCCATTGCTACCTCAAACAACATTAGCCTTGTAAGCACTTGATCAAGGGTGAAAAAAATAATGCGTACCCTTAAGGTGCCCATCAGTTTATATGTATTTTCGAAGTTCTTAGTAATTTGCATGATCATATCTTCTTTAGTTGATTCAAGTTATTCGGTGTGTGATTTTGAGGCAATCTTCAACTTTGGAGATTCAAATTCGGATACGGGTGGGTTTCATACAGCCTTTCCTTCACAGCCTCGTCCCTATGGAATGACTTACTTCAAAAAGCCAGTGGGACGTGCTTCTGATGGAAGGCTCATTGTGGATTTTCTTGGTATTGAACCAACCGTTATAAGTGCTTTTTTTATTTTTTATTTTTATTTTTAACTTCTCTGTTGAACTTGATAATGTTGTTAATTAGAGTTTAACATATACATTTTAATGCAAAAATTCTTAATTAACTAATAAAAAATCATACCTATGATACACTTGATTGTGAGACTATGACTCTTGTTTATGGATCCATTACATAGATGATTTGTAATTGAACGAGAGTGTAAATACGTTTTGCAATATATTATTTTATTGATTTAAATGTATTTTTAATTCCACTAAAATAAGTGACTTTTGATTTTGGTCTTTTGAATTTTTTTTTTCACTTTTCATTCTTCTAAAATTTATAATAATTGTTTTTAATCCTTATGAAATTAGTAAATTTTAATTTTGATCCCTATAATTTATTTTTCTTTGACCTTCTTGCAAAAATTTAAATACACCTCTCTAAGGATAGTTGTAAGGTAAATAATAACATTTATTTTATTTTAAGGATTTATATAAAATTTTAGAGATGTTAAATACTAACATTACATCCCTAATATTTGTGGATAATGCTTAATATGATCACTTAATCTTTTAAAAAATAAAAGTAATTAAAAATTATTACATAAAAAATAAAAACTAAAAAAAAAAGTTAGTCCCAATTAAAAAAAATATTGAGATGGAAACCAAAACTTTCTAATTTTATAAGAACTAACAACATATATAAATCTTATTTATTTTATTAAATATTTGATGTTATTTGGTGTTGAACATGCAGCTCAGGGTCTTGGCTTGCCATATTTGAGCCCATATCTACAATCAATTGGATCAGACTATACTCATGGGGCTAACTTTGCATCTTCAGCCTCCACTGTGCTCCCACCCACTACTTCCTTCTTTGTAAGTGGGCTCAGCCCATTTTCCCTTTCCATACAAATCAGGCAAATGGAACAATTCAAAGCCAGAGTTGATGAATTTCATCAAACAGGTACACAAAAAAAAAATGTTACTAGAAATAAAATAAAATATGCATTTGTTTTAATATAATAACAACACACTACACACTCACTTATACTCATACAAGTCTTCCATTACATGCACGACACAGGAACAAGGATATCATCTGATTATTTCTCAGGAGCGAAAATTCCTTCACCAGATATATTCGGAAAGGCTATTTACACGTTCTATATTGGTCAAAATGACTTCACTTCCAAAATAGCAGCCACTGGTGGTGTTGATCGAGTGAGGAACAACCTTCCTCTAATCGTTTCCCAAATTGATGCTGCTATCAAGGTTTGAATGTATCATGCATGTTATATAATCATATTTAAGACGAATTTTTGTGTTATATTCATTCAACCAAGTTGGCACAGTATTAATATATGAGAGGTTAGATTATATATGGCATGCCAGACAATTTTAATGATGCATCTTAATACCAGTCCAAGGAAGTTCTACACTAATAAAAATTAAGAAAAAGCATTATTTGTTAAAGGAAAAATGTAGACGATTTTTTACGTGGTCATGTGACTAAATAAATTTTAATTTTAACCATCTATATGTTTAGTTATATGACTTGTTTTTATAATAAAAAAAGTTCTCATCTGATACACCATTATTCTATATAAAAGAGAGGTAGTGCAGAACTAGTGGGTAAAAGAGTGTGTTTGAGATCTAACATTATTTATTTCTTTTTAGTTGATAAGGTAACTTTGAAGCTAGTTAATCATATATCTCTATTAGTTTTTTTTGGGGATTTTCAAATGCTATTAGTTAATTGAGAACTTTTAGCCCTCACTGAAATTTTTGGGAGAGATCACTTATTCATACAACAAATTCGTTTCACGTTTTTTTACAATACTATTACTTCTTTCCATCTCATCAACATCATATCGTACACACTCTCTCTTTGTTATATAACATGTTTAAAATTTTGTAGGAGCTATATGCACAAGGGGGGCGTACATTTATGGTATTCAATCTTGGTCCTGTGGGATGCTATCCAGGATACTTGGTGGAGCTTCCTCATGTTGCTTCTGACTTTGATGAGTTTGGATGCATTGCTTCTTGCAACAATGCTGTCAATGATTATAACAAATTGTTGAAGGAGGCATTGAGTCAAACCAGAAAAAGTTTACTAAATGCTTCCCTTATTCATGTGGATACCCACTCTGCTCTGTTGGAACTCTTTCACCACCCCACATATTATGGTACATGCACCTTTCCTTGACTGGTGTAGTTTAACAATGATCTTATGAATGCTTCTTATCAATTGTTATAGAAACACCCTTTAAGCCATTATACACCAACAAATATTAGCATTGTTATACATAATTATGATTAGAGAAAGTAAGTTATATACCTCGTAATGTTGTTCAATTACAATCTATCATGTTTAGTAAACTCGTTTACTTTTATAATAGTTATCCTAAAAGTCACACCAACAATGATTTTTGATTAGTTGACCGTGTAAAACTGCTTTACATTAATAGTGCATGAACATTAAACTCTGTATGAACATTAAACTCGAATAATTATGCATGAAATCAATTATATTACCAAGTGCCATATGCTACCAGTGCTATTATTAATTTTTTTTATTTTTTTGGATTCAATATTTATAAACCAACCATGCTGATTCCACATGTGTAGAGCTGATTTCTTGTTTCAATTTGTTTTCTTGGAGCAGGACTAAAGGATGGTAGCAGAGCATGTTGTGGGCATGGAGGCGGTTTCTACAACTTTGAACCTAAAATTTTGTGTGGCAATATGATTGCAAGTGTATGTGATGAACCCCAAAACTATGTGAGTTGGGATGGGATCCATTTCACAGAAGCAGCAAACAAGATTGTTGCACATGCCATTCTCAACGGCTCTCTTTTTGATCCCCCTTTCCCTCTTCATGAACACTGTGATCTCCAACCTATTGGTTGATCCAGTGCCTGCAACATTTGCTCTCTCTTATTTACCTATTAACTTAAATCATTTCGAAACACTCGGCAATATCAAAATATTAAGTAATGTTTTGGTTTGTGGAGTGTCACTTAATGCTTGTGTGTAATAATAGTTCGAACAAAATCATGGAACTTGTTGGTATCATTACTGTTTGATGAAAAAAAAAAAAGTTATGCTTTGGTTATGTATGTATGGTATGATCAATTTCTGAAACTGCTGAACTACCATGCTTCATGTTACATACAAAATATTTCAGTCAGAGTTGGCCTATCTTCCTTTAAAGATTGTTACAAGTATATTGTAATGTTCTATTTGAGTTCCAATAAAAAGTCCTTCAGATTTGGGTTCTAATGAGTATCACATCATATCTATCATTTTATGAATACCTAAAGCGCATCAAAGACAATAAATCTATTTGGATACAAGATAAAAGCATTTTTGAAAATTTCTTTACTAGAAATAAATAATATTTTCAGTAAAAAAATTCTCATAAATACTTCTAAGTTTGTATCCAAATAGGTTTAATAACCAAGATGCAAAATCTTTGGTACCTTACAAATAGATGTGGCTATCTTGGTCGAAGAGAACTCTTTCAAAATTCATATAATTCCTAGGAATTCTTGTCTAAGTAAATATTAATTCTTGTCTAAGGGTTAGAAGGAGTCCAATGCAACCAAGCAGGGACATTCTAATTATTTTTAAAAAATTAAACAAATCTAAATGCTCAAAATAGTCAAGTTTGTTGTCTTCATAATGCATCAACCACTGTTTGTATTTGTTTTTAATAATCAACCTGCACAGCTAGTGCACAGATATAGACAAGAAAGAAGAATACTAAGGAGGTGGGGGACCAGAGAATTAAAAAAATTAATTTTTATCTGTGCATGAATTCCAAATAAAGAAATTTAAGTGAAAACAAAACATGACATCAATTAAAGTGCTATTAACACCTAAGGTGATGACTATATCGCTACAAAAATATATGCTAAATTTGCTGTACTTAACATTTAACAATTGTTTTGTTGACAAGGATCAAATTCAAAACAAACCACATTTGTGTACTGATTCATTTGCAGGAGGTAATTAATACTACAAGATAGAGAAATGAGGAAAAATTGATCACCAATGAACTATTAACGAATGGCATCTTCATTCTCAAGGATTGGTTGGGTTCTAATCGATGAAGCTAAAGGCAATTTAGTTTCTCCAATCCAAAATGTATCAAAAAGCTCACCTCCTGATGATATTCTCTCCAATTTTCTTATTCTTCTCCTCTTGGCCTCCTTAACCAAAGCTAGCAATATCAAAACCAAAATAACCAACCCAACAAAACCTATTACAAATCCTAACACCCACCATATAGTAAATCTCTTGCTTCGTGTGTGAGGTTCTTTTGGAGAAGATGGAACTACAAGAGTGTAGTGCCCTTGGCTACGTGCTTCACAGACATATGGCTTACTCATGTTTATGAATTTCACCAATCCATCAACACTAAACTTGGCACAAATTGGTGTGTTATTTTTCCCATGTTGCTCAGCAAGAGGAAAACGAATTCTGATGGGGTCACCACGGATGGTAAAGTCAATATTCTGATTAATGAATGCTGATTCTGAGGAACTGTAGGCCATAAGACCAAAAACTGGAGCCACCATTGTGTAGTTAGACACATTGTAATAATGAGAAGACCAATGCCCCAAGTTTTCAAATAAAATAACTATTCTCTTCTCATTAGGCTGTGACACAATCCGTGGTGGAAGATTGAAGAAACTAAAATTCATTCCTCTTAACCATAGAGAGAAACTGCGCAATCTAACAACTGAAACTTGCATGCCTGTGAAGTTAGAAGGAAGGGAAACATTATAGAGAACACCTGTTTTAGGATTTTCTATCTCTTTGTTTGCTTGCTTGCAAAGAAAGGCATCCAATGATTCATGATCATAATAAGTGTGTGAGACATCAACCAAAGATGACAAAAGGAAAGACACAATTACCAATGTAACATGCCACCATCTGTGTAGCCCCATGAATGTCACCCCAGAAGCCTTCTTCTGCCTCTAATGCTAATGGCTTTCATGCAAATCCATGGATGAACCAAACCCATTGAAGCTTTTAAGATGCAATAGTATTTTCACTACTCATTAGTGGAAGGAAAATTGAGTCTAATTTCTCAGCATAGGCACAAACTTGGCTCTCTTTTCCTGACCAAGTGTTGGCATCAAAATGATGTAATGTGGGGAGGCACTTTATGGATTTGGTTGGGAAGTTAAACTTATGCCACCTTATACAAATGATTAGGTTCCAAAAGGAACGAGAAGAAGGGTATGAATTCTTCAACTATTGTTATGTATGTGGAGATCCTGTTGGAGTTTCTTGTGCCTAGAAATGAGAGGTGTGTGTGGCTGTGGGGAAACTAATGAGGCGATGAAATATGAGTTGAAGTGTTGTATTGTAATGACATTGGTCAGCAAATGAAAAGGGGCATGAAACATTGGAAATTTGGAACCTGAGTTGGTGATGCTTTATAGGTTGTTAATTTGTTGTTGACTAATTGTCATTATTAATTATTGGATTCTTCAATGACAAGGGTATTTATTTAGGGTCCTTCTTGCATTCTATTTAGGGTTTTGGTCAAAAGATAAAAGGGAAAAAATGGTTTGGTCATCATGACCTGTGCCAACAAGGACTTTAGGTGCCATGCACCTCCAATGCCTATTTTAGGCAAATAATTCGTTGGGGCAGCAAATTAGTTGGTGAGTTTTAAATGATTAGTTTTATTGTCACTTGTCAAGGTGGAAGCAATGTAGTGAGGTTGTATATTTACTAAACTTTTAAATGATTTTGCAAAATTCTTAAACTAAACTAAGTTTAAAATGTTAGCAAAATTGTACTCTCCAATTTTTTGAAGGACGTACTTGGGATGGGAGGGTGTAAAAAGTTAGAATCATTCTCTAAATATAAGAATCTTTTTATTAATTCATCTGTTAAAAAAATTAATTTTTATTACGTAATCATGTTTTTGTCGAATCTTTTGTCGATGTTAAAAAATTTAACATAAAAACCTTTAAAAAGGTTGTTAACTTGTTTTAATAGTTGGTATAATGCACAAAATAAAAATTTTATTATTATTTTTAATTTATAAATTTTATTATAATTAAAATTAGTAATGAATATATACTTTTATACATACCAAACATATTTTAAATTTATAATAAATATTTTTATTGAGATACAAGGTTATTTTTAATTATTGATATTTTTAAAATTTAATTTTAAAATAAATTTGAAAATAATATATTAAAAATAAAAAAATAAGAAAATTTCTAAACATATTTTTTCCCCCAAAAAGTACTCATTCCAAATAGATATTTTCATTTATATACATAATATCCTAATGGTAGATTCCCAAAAACCACTCGTTAACTTTTTTCATTATATTATTATTTATTTATTTGAAAACAATAAATTTAGTAAACATGTTATTTAAAATAACTTATGAATTTAAATTAAAGTTTAATACTTTTGAATTAATTTAGTTTAGATATTTTCTAATTAGTTAATTTTAGTATTAACTAATTTTTTATCCAGAAAAACTAAAATAAAAAATATGCATTCTTTATACACACATACGTGTAGATATATATATATATATATATATATAAAGAATATTAAATTGTAAAAATTTTAAACTTCACATTTTTTTTATGAGTTAATCACTTATATACTGCTAGTGTAAAATTTTTTTACACTGACAACCAATTATATCTTTTAATTATGCCATGTCATTGTAAACACATTTATTTTTAACAATGACATGACACAATTAAAAGATATAATTGATTGTCGGTGTAAAAAAACTTTACACTGACAGTGTATAGATGATTAACTTTTTTTTTTTATATACATTTCTTTTAAAAGCCAAATAAAATGTTTAGCATATAAGAATACCCTCTCTATAATTAAAGCTAGAAGTTTTTCTGAATATTCAGTACCCTGCAACAAGTTTTTCATCCCCACCTCCCAACGCAAACTAAATAGAGTAAATACTAATTTATAAGTTATTAAATAAAGTAAATTTTACTCTTCTCTTCATAGATACTTAAATTACAGAGCTTTTATATTTATTTTAAAATATTACACTCACCTTACAGAGCTTTATATTTATTTTAAAAAATTACACTCACATTTACTGAGATAAAGGTAAATAAGATAATTGTTCTTTGTTACATTCAACATTCATGGTAGTTATTCTTAAAACCCTGCTATCAAATTTGACAAGTAAGAAGATGAAATGAACATTTTCAATAAAGTTCCAAAATAAGTGTTAAAAATTAACTGCCAATTACATTCAAAGTTATTACATTAAAAAAGAAAAAAAGAAGTTACATATTTCTTCTCAGGAAGAAAGTCTAATTTTAGAAGTTGAACGAAAGGAGCGTGTAACCTAGTCATCAATCAAGGATTAGAGTATACTTTTAGCATACATTTTATTAAAGAAAATTTTGTTAGTTTATATGAGAGAAAACAGGTCAGAACATATGTTATATTTCCGTGTCCTGAACTCATATATGACTTAAATTTCTTACACAGGGGAAGAAGTGAAAAGATAATGGTTTCCATTGAGAGCCATATACATAAAATTTGCTACATTATTTTAGCAATGAAATGGGTTCATTACAGGGGCAATAGAGGTCGAGAGGAATTCTATTCTACATCAAGGGATACATACGACTCTTATACAGGAGATAAGAGTAAAACAAAAACAAATGGTGCTCACAGAACATAAACTTCACTTGGTACCTGCAAACACCATTCTATTCAGTTCCAGCAATTTTCTTCTTCAGTGCATCAATGTCTGTAGCTAGCTCCTTCCTGCTAGACTGTGTATACAAATACACATATATTACTTATAAGATGTACAGTGAATAAGGCAAGCGTTGCAGATGTAGAAAAGGGTAAGTAGATCCAGGGTAAAAAAGTGATCATTCAATCACTTTTGAATTAAGGGTCTGTTTGAACAAATTTCTCTATAAGCACTTTTAAGGGAAAAAAAATAAAAGAAAAATGAAATACATTTAACCATTAGCTAAAATTAGCTTATGCATAAATACATAAATTGAAAAACATTTTGGAGAAGCTGATATAAGTAAGAGAGCTTCTACTAATTAACTTCTACATAAGCTAATATTACCTTTTGAAGAAACTTATTTCATTTTTCTCTCCTAAATTTTTTTTTGAAGAAGTTTATTCACACATGTCCTAATTCAATAGCTCATTTACCCAAAACAAAACATCATAGCAAAAAGGTAAAAAAGAAAACAAAACATGAATACAACAATATTGACACCAAAGCAATCTCAAGGCCTGATATACAAAACCACCACTTATGTCCATACAACAAAACGTGTTAGATTCTAAAATCTAAAATAGTAAAGTATTCGTGGTGTATTCTACTTACCTTAAACAGAAGGTATCGGTAGACAAACCATCCAGTGTACCCTAGCCCTACCAACTCCATAATCTTTGGAAGCTGAAACATACATAAAACAATTTCAGATTGGTTCACCAAGCTTTATATAGCATAGAAACTCAAGCATATAACCAGAAGTGATAGTACAATATGGTAAAAGTTAATCAGATTCAACAAGAGTGATGGCTTACCAAGGGAACTGAGTTGATGGCGCTCACAAGAATTGAAGATAGCCAAACAGCAACTAGAGCCCCACCACCATAAAGAAGTACTGTGGACTTGTTTTCAACAGCATCCCACTGATTATGATAAATGTAAGATATTATTTCCACTTGTTAAAACTTAATATAGTGTTTGGTCAGAGAGGAGGGGAATTGATAAAAATTTGGGAGAGAATCCCCCCCTCCCTTTGAACCAAACAGTGTAAAAGCAGGGTTGGCAAAGAGGATATTAGAATAACAAGATGGAGGATTTGTAAAAAGGAAGTCGAGGATAAAACCAAATTGTTGAAATGATCCAAGAAGTAAAATTCTTGCCTTTTCCTTCAAATCTGTGAACAACTCATTGGCATCTACTGGGGATGATTCCTCTGAAGAAGCTCTGGTCTGAAGCAGAGAAGATTTCCGGGACACTGAAAGGGAGAAAAGAAGAAAACAACTAAAATTATTAAAAGATGAATAAATAAATAATAAGAAAGTTATAAAAGAACAATATGACTGAGCTCAATAACTAGAACATTGAGAATGCAACAAAAAAATGAATTACTAGTGCTAAGGATAGGATCATGCTAAAACTACAGACACAGAAGGCTTAACCATGTGTATAAGATTCCTAGACAAGTATTAATTTGTGGTGGGCATTAATTTCCTCATTCACATTGCAGAAACTAGCTTAATTTTCTGGATTGGTGTTTGGATTTAGCCAAGTGTATCAACTCAACATAAGTTGTTTACCACCCTCAATTTCAAAATGCAGAAGTGTTTCAGTTAAACAATTAGTATCACCTTGGACATATTCACAGGGATGATCAAAACATGGATTAAGGTACATGAACATGACAATCCTACCTCTCACTTAATCCCCTCATTCACATCACAAAACAAATCTAAGTGTAAGGACTTTAACTAATAATAACAAAGGAGAAACACACATATAAGAGGAAATAAGGGGGGAGAGACACAATATTCCATGAGTGAAACAAGATACATGAGCTTGACAGCAGCTAATTAGCAGTGACAGGCCTCAAATTAAAAGTATAACATTGCATGAAACAATCATATTATCTATGACAAATAATAAAGCAACATACTTTATGAGTTCATGTAACTGAAACAATTACTGAAGACTAGCCTCTAGACTCAATCCCATTAGTAACTCAAACCAAACCTAATTGAAAATTTCACACCCCATTGTTTGGAGTTAGCAAAGGTTGCTCCTTTTTGCATATCAGTTTAAGAGGAAAGAAGACTAAACAAAATGTACATTAAATTACATAAAAAAAAAACCCTTTTTACAATTTTTAAGAGAGAATTTTATAAAATCTTAAAAATTTCAAACATGCAACAAAAGCAACAAGGAAAAAGAGAAAGGAAACAAAAGAATACCTGAAAAGTGGTTGAGGGAAGGTGAGAACAAAGTGGTGGTGGTGTTGGAGACACGGGGAGGGAGAGAAGGCAAAGCAGAGCAGCGTGTAACGTTGGTGGTGGTGGTGGTCGGAATCCTAGGTGGGAGTAGCACCGTCACTGCCGCCGCTGCCATTATTATTATTAATCAGAAATGTGATGCCTATCCCCAAACCAAGAAATTGTCACTTTGGTTGGTCTCACTTTGTTTCTGTACTCCCTTCAAATTCAATAGATATTTATTTAATTATTTTGAAAAAAAGAGAGGACATGTTGCTCACAATGACTTGTTATCCACTGCCACAATACAATCTGGGACACCGATTTCAAACATTTGACACGTGGACCAACCTCCCTCCCTCATTGGCTACTTCCCTATCTTAAAATCCACATCCCAAATCACCCTTAAACCTACGACCATTACTGTTGTTGCCATTTACACCTTTTCCCCTTCTAAATAAACTATGCATTTCTTTTGTTTAGTAATAATAATTATTATTATAAATACTCTATATTAAGATTACCTTTTTGTATAAAAAATATATAAACCCTAATTTTTATATCTCAATTTCACTGCTTTCCAAATTTTTATTAATTTTCTCTCATTTTCTTTCTTTGTCGTAAAATTATTTTACCTTAACTTTATTCTATTTTAACTCTTATAATTATTTATATATAAAAAATATATATTTCAATCTCAATAATGTATATTTCATTGCATTCTTTGATATTTGTGTTCATATATTTTATGAAATGATTGATTGTTACGAATGTTCATGACTTATATTCTTTAATTAGGTTATTCAAGATTCAAATTATGATTTTGAGTATGAAATAAATTATATTAGAATAGTCACCTTATGCAATCTGATAATCCTTAACAAAAATTAGTTTATTTATAATTATAAATACTTTATACCAACATTATGTTTATAAAAAAAAATATCGAACATCGTTGATATATTTATCGATAATTGTTAAATAATTATGCATTGAATTATTTTTTAATTTTAAAAAAGTATTTTTAAGGAATTGATGTCAACACTCTTATAGAAAATATTTTTCATAATGAAAAAAATAGTAGTTATTCAATAAGTGTTTTTCAACGAGAACATTATAGAAAGTATTTTTTTGAAAGAGTGATTATATTGGTTTTTATGGTGTGTGGGACGAGGGAGAGTGAAGTTGAAGCATAATCGTATAAAGATGTTCTTTAAAAAAAAAAAAAAGAATTATTTAGGTAAATTCAAATAAAAAAGGAGTGTGTTTAGCAAAAAGAGAAGTGTAAATAGTAAAAGTCTGCAAAATCCATATGGTAAACCTACGACCATGACTTCAATCCTCCAACCTGGGTCCAATCTGGGCCGGCCCACTGAAAATTTCTTTCCGCCCAGCCCATGTTCCATCAACACACTCTCCTCTTGGTCTCTCTTTGCCCTACCAAGTTCCGAAAGCCACACTCACCTCTCACTCCAAACCACACCTTCCGAGTCCGAAGGCCACCGACCCACCACCGGAACCATGCTGCGCCTCCTAAAGCCGAAGCCTTTTCTCTCCGGGCACCACCTCATCCAGCGGTGCGCCGTGAGCGGCACCGCGAAGGGCAAGGCGAAGATCAAAGCCGGGCAAGCCCTAAAACGCTCCCGCATCACCACCAGAAAGCCCGGATCCGAACCGAAGCCCGGAGGCCCAACCGGGTCGCGCGAGAGGCAAGAGCGCGAGCACCTCTACGAGCAGTGCCTCCAAGCCCCCACCCCTCTCCGCCACCTCACCCCAAAGCAGCGAGAGCGCGAAGCGGAGCGCGAGAAGTTGGGCCTCATCAGCAAAGACAGACAACGAGAAATCGACATGATGAGGAAAAAGAACCAGAAGTTTAAGGTTTCGGAGAAACCCACGATTATTGGGACTCCTGGTTTGGACTACGTGAGTTTGGGGTTGGTGGATGTTGAGAAGTTGCCCAAGTATGAGTTGAATGTTGAGGATGGGAGAAGGTTGGCGAAGGAGTATAGTAGGGTTCTGATGAGGAAGCATAGGGCGAGACAGGCTGCGGAATCCACGCTTTTGAGGATGAAAAAGGAGGCAATTGATGCTTTGCCTGAGGGTTTGAGAGAGGCTGCTTTGGTTCCTGATTTGAGTCCTTTTCCTGTTAATCGCTTTATGGCTACTCTTACTCCTCCCATTGAGGGTTACATTGAGCAGGTTAGGGAAGCGGCTAATAGGGTCAGTGGAATGGAGAAGATTAGGTGATTTTGTTTATGGATTGGGATGGAATAGCTAATAACATTGCTTGTTGTTTGACTGGTTGGAATAGGATGTAATGTCATGAAATGTATTTGGTCTCATGCTTTTGTTGTTGTTCTTGTTGGATCAAACTCACTTGTTTTTGTTTAGAGGTGTGGGATGGAATGATGATAGAAATAAGTTTTGGGAGGAACCAGGATGAGAGGACTTTTACAAATTAGTTCATGAATGAGTTAATTTTAGCTTATAGAGAAACTAATTTAATTTCATTGTTTCTTCTGGTTTTCTTCTTTTATTAAGTGTTTTTGGAGAAATTTATTGACACAGGTCTATAGATTGTTTGGAAGTTGATGAAATGAAATGCGGTGTGAAGATGGTTTTGTTTTTCTTTCTTTCTATTGGTTTGGGGTGTTGGATGAAATGAACTAATTGTTTTCTAATTTCAGTTTGGGTTAAGTGATTTTGTAAACATGGGAAGAAATGTCTAGTGAATGATATGATGGTTTTATTTTATTTCATTGCTTGTTAGTTGTTACTTGATTATGTTTCATTTGATCTTGTTTTTAGATGAGAAAAATATAAAGGGATTAGGTTTTGAAGTGCATTAATGAATTGACCTTAGGGTGTGATTTGTGATGTTATCATGTTATGGTTGAGCTAGTTTCTTTTTGAGAAATGATTAGAGTGAAAAAAAGATTGTTGATCAGGAAAAGTTATGTTTGACAACTGATGAAAATTTATCTGGATGTTATATGCAAAGAAACTTGTGATTACTTATTGTTTGGAGTACACTAGAGTGGGATTGCTCTTTGCTGCTTGCTTGTATGGAGTGAACATATTAAATGACTAGTATTTGCACTGATACTTGACATCTATTAACAGCAACTTTAAATATAACTCATGATTTGGTTATTGAAAAAATTCAACACATGTAAAATTAGTGATTTGTATAAGTGATTCATAAGTCAAGTGCTAAGTTTTGTAACGACAAATGTTGAGTGATCCAATATGAAATCAACTAAAAACACTATCAGAGCAGGAAAGAAAATTTACAAAAAGGCTTGGAGTTTGTTTCAGCCTTTTATAGATTTAAAATATAATGTTGGCATGCTTGACTCATTTTTGGGTTGATTCATACCACAATCACCTGTATATGATCCAAACCTTCTTGTGCATCTTGCCGCGGATGTGGCAGAGGCGCTTGGTGTGTACGGTGTACCAATTAACAGGACTCTTGGATGGACTGTGTTGTGTTGTGTTGTGTTGCCCCTCCTGTAACCTCGTCAACTTTTTTGGGCTTTTTGACCCGAATAAATAAAAATAAATAAAAAATACATGAAATAAATTAAAAAAAAATAATTTATCAAAGTAGGTGGTTTCGGACAATGTGGCGCCACGTGGATGAGAAAATGCAGGGGAGGGCGTTTTTCAGAAAAAGCCTCCCCCATGCGCCTTGTATGGGTGACGTGGCACCTGACACACGTGGAAAAGAAAGAGCAGGGGGAGGCGTTTTTCAAAAAGAGTCTCCCCCCAGGCGCCTTCTATTTACATAATAACACGTGGCAGGTTGAAAAAGAAAGAGTAGGGGAGGAGGCGCCATCTGTTCAACATTTGACACGTGGCACAACTTCCCCCATTTTTTGTTTAAATGTGAGTCCGAGAGTAGAGGCTCAGATATGTTTTTTTTTAGAAAACGCTTGTACACCTGGCGCTTTGAGAAAAAGCTTCTACCACTTACGTTCTGAAAAATTTTATTGCCCCACAAAATTATTTTTGCACGCTGTTATCAGGTATGATTTGTACTTTATTTATTTAAATTAGAAATAAATAGTTAAATAAAAAATGTTTAGGGCTGATTCGTTAATGGTTTCTGGGTGTGGAACGGCCCCGTCTGTTTTCAGAACGGGCCGTTCTGATTGAACAATTTGGTTGTTATTTTGGATCTGGAACGGGCCGTTCTGAAAGTAGAACGGGCCGTTCTGGGGTCGTTCTGGTTGTTTGCTTTACTGAAAAATGGAAGGGATCACAATGGCCCGTTTTGCTTTCGGAACGGGCCGTTCCAAAACCCAATTTAAGACACGTTTTGTGCAATGAGAATGGCTCGTTCTGGTTTCAGAATGGGCCGTTCTGATTGCAGTCATGAAGGATTTCAATTGAAAATTTTGAATTATTATGAGGGATTAAATTAGGCATTTAGGCATTTATAAAATTTATTAGTAATTAGTTGTTTGAGTTTAATATTTAATTTGTTTGTTTGTTTAATTATATCAGGATGTCTACACAGATGATTCATGTAGGACCTATCGACGATTCATTATTAAGGCTTCAACCATTCCATATATCTAAGCATATATGGAATGGAGCTGAAGATAATGTTTTGAAGGTTAGGAGAGCAACACAATCAGAGTTGCGTGGTGTTGAGATTCCAGTTGCTATTTAGGATCTTCTACAAAGGGCTGGTTTTATGGGGATGACGCAGATCAGTTACTTTCCTATGGACAATCATTTAATTTTTGCGTTAGTTGAGCGATGGAGACCAGAGACCCACACATTTCACATGCCCTTCGGCGAGTGTACTATGACGTTGGAGGATGTTGCAATGTTACTTGGGTTGAAGATCTCCGGGGCACCCATTACTGGATACGTAACTATGGATTGGGGAGCTCTTGTGCAGCGCCTTCTTGGCATGACACCCCCTGAGTCAATGCCTGCTGGCGGTTGATTGAGGATGACCTGGATTGACCGACACTTTTCTAATGTTTCTGAGCATATACATAGCCAGGAATAGTTGGAACGCTATACTAGAGCGTTCATTTTACGCATAATCGAGGGATATCTATTAACTGATCACTCTAGCTCGTTTGTATCCCTCAGATACCTGAGTTTCCTAGAAGACCTGGATGTTTGTGGTCAAATGAGTTGGGGGTCATGCATCCTGGCGAATATGTACAGGGAGTTGTGTGTGTGCACGAATTATGATCACAAGGAAATTGGTGGTTCAGGTATTTTACTGCAATTATGGGCATGGTATCGGTTTCCATTTTTTGCACCACCTTATCAACCTTTATCTACATTTCATGTTCCTCTAGGGGCAAGGTTAGTAACTATATTACTTGTGATCGATTTAAGAATAAATATATTTAGAATTAATTTGTATATTGAAGAATTAATGCATTTTTTTGTTTTTATAATAGGTGGGATTATGCGTTGCATAAACCTAGAGAGAAAACAAAAGATAAAATTGTGAAGTATAGAGAGTATTTTGACCGTTTAAAAAGAGAGGATGTAAATTTTAATTTTTAATATTTTATTGAAGATTTATATTAAAAAATTAAATTATAAATGATAATTGCTAATTACTTATTTGTTATGTTGTTTTGCAGTTTGTATGGCAACCATACTTGGAGTTACTACCTACATTACCTCCTTACTGTTTTGAGAACTCACAAGTATGGAGGTCAACTGTCCCATTGATTGATTTCCACATCGTCGAGTATCATTACGCAGATCGTGTCATGCAACAATTTGGGATGGTCCAACACATTCCTGCGCCTCCTATTCATCCAGAGAAATTGCATGATCTTTCCTTGAGAGGCAAGGATAACACGGACTGGTCACGCATGCACGTTCAATTTGTGCAGGAGTGGCAATCACAACTTCATCATGTATGGACACAACTTGCGTGTGATACACCACACTTGAGCAATAGCTCAGAATACATGGTGTGGTATAGGAAACATACAAGGCGGTGAATTTCTCCTTCTAGTGCAAAGAAAGGATATGTGGTGAGTACAAATCTAAAGATGTATTTAAATAATTACTTGTGACATATTTACAAATTTAGTGTTCTGATGATATTTGTTATGTTATTTGTAGACTGATGTTTTGGAACACATGTATCATGGGACCAGTGAAGAACATAGGGATTCCTTCGATTTTACCATGATGCATGAGAGGATCGACCACTGCTTGCAGTTGCGAGACGAGGTGAGCAGGGTGAGTTTTCCTTTTACACCGGCTCCAGCTGCAACATTACCACAACCAGACGCAGTTCAGGTGGAGCACATTGGGGCAGGTCGACGAAAAGGAAAGGGGCTAAGTCGTAGACGAAGGCGAGTTGATCTCTAGTTCAGGTGCATAATTTAACCATTTTTTTTTCATTACACAATTACAAAACAACAACAACAAATACATATTATTAACTGAAGTTCATAATTTTACCAATATTTAATAATAATATTCTCCAAATTTAAATTTTACAATCCACATAAAAAATTACATTACAACCATCCTAATTAGAAATAAACATAAAACTAAATTACAAATATTTTTTTCTCATTAAATCAAATATCCTTCGGAATAACCTGCAAAAAATGTAACATATATTTGTTAAACAATATTAGTTACACAATAAATTATGTTTGACTAACACTACTCACCTGTTGTACATTATTTTTAGTTATATTAAGGAAGTAAGGACCACGGAAACGGTTGGGGGCAAACACGACAACCTGAAGAAAAAAAAAACAAATTCAATTCAACACATAAATAACATATAATTTAATATTATACAATAAATATTACCTGTTTCAGAACTAACACACACCCCACAACAATGTCTTCCCCATATTGTTGGTGTTGCTTAACTTTGTAATGTAAGCTTGCACCAATCGTGGCAGTTGGGTCCTGAAATAAATATTTACAATTAATTACAAAACAATTTCTTTTAATGTATAAAATTTTTACTAACCATACCTTTAAATTAATAGTATAATTTCCCTTTCCAGTTGGGGTCATAGACTCCACAAAAGCAACAACTGTTGGAACTCTTTCTAAATTGTGGTTGATATTAATCAATGTTGTCACTTCAGGTAGATCTATTGTTAAAAAAACAAAAAAAATTAAAATTATTTGCATAATTAATTTTACACACATGAAACTTAATATGCTAAACAAACCTCTAGATTTGACATAATGAACATCATAGCGCCACGGGTTAGAGTTGAACACTAACATCGCAGGTCCGTTAAGATCAGACAAGAACTGTTGTGTTGGCAAGGGATTTTCAGATTCCCTGTTCCTCATTGTAGCTTGGACCAAACCAACTGATCCAGGAATAAGACGGCCAATGTCACGTGCACTAGATGTCTCTTCGTCATTATCATCCCCAAGTTTTGGTGTAGGGGGTGACAACGGAGACAATGGCTCCTGTTCTCTAGCTTCTTCATTCTGTTTAGCTGCCATAACACTTCTCATTATTGACAAAAATTGCTCATCTGTCAATACTTCTTATGATGGAACAATGTTTTCTTCTTCGTCACTATCAGGTACATAATTTATCCCTCTACGAGACATTCCTGATAAAATATAAATCAAAATAAATATTCTATTAATATTGTTTCAAATTCTAAAATTTAAAATATTTAGTATAATATCATAATTTTTAACATTGCAATAAATACATTTATTCAATTACAAAAATTAAATTATATAACTTTTTCAATTAAATTATTTTTTATTGGCGCACTGGAACGACCCGTTCTGATTTTCGAACGGGCCGTTCTCATTGCAACAGTGGTGTGTTATCTATGTATCTAGAACGGGACGTTCTGAAATCAGAACAGCCCGTTCTCATAGCGCTCATAAGATGTTCATTTTAGTTCCAGAACGGCCCGTTTTCGTTTTAGAATAGGCCGTTCCAGAACAAAACTAACAAGTATTAAGTACAATAAGAACGGGTCGTTCTGCTTTCAGAACGCCCCGTTCTTATTGTACATAAACTTCCTCACTTTACCATCCAGAACGGCCCGTTCTGAATACATACGTTTTCAGAACGACCCGTTCTACGTTTAAAACTTACGTACTGACCATTCTATTTAAAAATAATAATAATAATCATTGCACCACTCTATTTTATCTTTGAATCTCCATACAATATATTATAAAAATTAAAATTTAAAATTACAACAAATAAAATATGATACTCACTTGCACTATCCTGGACCACCAAATAAAATATGATAGCATCTGGACCACACCGGAGGAAGTGAATTTTGTGAAACCCAATAACACGTTCTACATTTAACTAGTGTTTGAATTTGATAGCGCCTGGGGTTGGGGCGCCACGTACAACGCGCCTAGGGGAGAGGTGCATTAAAACGTGGCAGCACGTAAACAGATGGCGCCTCCCCCACCTGCTCTTTCTTCTCCAACCTGCCACGTGTCATACCTAAATAGAAGGCGCCTGGGGGGAGGCTCTTTCTGAAAAACGCCTCCCCCCTGCTCTTTCTTCTCCACGTGTGTCAGTTGCCACATCAGCCACATAAGGCGCCTGGGGGGAGACTTTTTCTGAAAAACGCCCACCCCATGCATTTTCTCATCCACGTGGCGCCATGTTGTCCGAAACCACCTACTTTGATAAATTGTTTTCTTTATTTAGTGTATTTTTTATTATTTTATTTATTTATTGGGTCAAAAAGCCGTAGCTTTCTCTCGAACTGCTCTATATATACGTGGACCAACACAGTAACTTTCTCTTGTAATTGTGGGGCTTTTTGACCCCAATAAATAAAAATAAATAAAAAATACACGAAATAAAAAAAAAACAATTTACCAAAGTAGGTGGTTTCGGACAGTGTGACGCCACGTGGATGAGAAAATGCATGGGGTGGGCGTTTTTCAGAAAAAGCCTCCCCCAGGCGCCTTATGTGGTTGATGTGGCAGCTGACACACGTGGAGAAGAAAGAGCAGGGGGAGGCGTTTTTCAGAAAGAGCCTTCCCTCCAGGCGCCTTCTGTTTAGGTATGACACGTGGCAGGTTGGAGAAGAAAGAGCAGGTGGGGGAGGCGTAGAGTTGTCAAAGTGGGTCGGAACCCGTGGGCCAACCCGGCCCACCTTGAAAACGGGCCGGGCCGGGCCAAAAAAATTTGAAGTTTTATAGTAGGTAGGTATATCTCAACCCGGCCCACTTTGACCCGACTCACCTAGGCTAAACCCGTGGTGGGCCGGGTGGCCCACCAACCCGCCAACTTTTTTTTTTTGCAATAAAAATTTAAGTATAATTTGTAGTTAATTTTGTATGATGGTATATTAAAAATGTTTATTTTAGACTTTTATCATGATTTGTATTTAATTTTGTATGATGAATTATGACTTATAACTATTAATGATGTTAATTTTATGACTATTATGTTAATTATAATTAATTTAAAATTTTGAATTTTGTTAATAATTTTTTTTAAATTTTTGGTGGGCTGGTGGGCTGGCCCGTATAACCCACCAACCCGTGGTGGGCTGGGCCGGGCCAATTTTTTTTTTGAGAAAATTACAAGTGGGCCGGGTTGGGTTGGCTCTTTTTAAAGTGGGTCAAGGTGGGCCGGCCCACATGGACCGGGTTGGCCCGTTTTGACACCTCTAGGGAGGCGCCATCTGTTTACGTGCTGCCACGTTTCAATGCGCCTCTCCCCCAGAGGCGTTGTACGTTGCGCCCCAACCCCAAGCGCTATCAAATTCAAACACTAGTTAAATGTAGAACGTGTTATTGGGTTTCACAAAATTCACTTTCTCCGGTGTGGTCCAGGTGCTATCATATTTTATTTGGTGGTCCAAGGTAGTGCAAGTGAGTATCATATTTTATTTGTTGTAATTTTAAATTTTAATTTTTATAATATATTGTATGGAGATTCAAAGATAAAATAGAGTGATGTAATGATTATTTTTTTTTAAATAGAATGTACGTAAGTTTTAAATGTGGAACGGGTTGTTATGAAAATGTATGTATTCAGAACGGGCCGTTCCGGATGGTAAAGTGAGGAAGTTTATGTACAATAAGAATGGGGCGTTCTGAAAACAGAACGACCCGTTCTTATTGTACTTAATACTTGTTAGTTTTTGCTCTGGAACGACCTGTTCTAAAATGAGAACGGGCCATTCCGGAACTAAAATGAACATCTTATGAGCGCTATGAGAACGGGTCGTTCTGATTTCAGAACGCCCCGTTCTAGATCCATAGATAACACACCACTGTTGCAATGAGAACGGCCCATTCTGAAATCAGAACAGGCTGTTCCAGTGCCCCAATAATTTTTTTTAATTGAAAAAGTTATATAATTTGATTTTTGTAATTGAATAAATGTATTTATTGCAATGTTAAAAATTATGATATTATACTAAATATTTTAAATTTTAGAATTTGAAACAATTTAATGGAATATTTATTTTGATTTATATTTTATCAGGAATGTCTCGTAGAGGAATAAATTATGTACCTGATAGTGACAAAAAAGAAAACATTGTTCCATCAGAGGAAGTATTGACAGATGAGCAATTTTTGTCAATAATGAGAAGTGTTATGGCAACTAAACAGGCTGAAAAAAGCTAGAGAACAAGAGCCATTGTCTCCGTTATCACTCCCTACACCAAAACTTGGGGATGATAATGACGAAGAACATCTAGTGCACGTGACATTGGCCGTCTTATTCCTGGACCAGCTGGTTTGGTCCAAGCTACAATGAGGAATAGGGAATCTGAAAATCCCTTTCCAACAAAACAATTCTTGTCTGATCTTAACGGACCTGCGATGTTGGTGTTCAACTCTAATATGTGGTGCTATGCTGTTCATTATGTCAAATTTAAAGGTTTGTTTAGCATATTAAGTTTCATGTGTGAAAAATTAATTATGCAAATAATTTTAATTTTGTTTTTGTTTTTTTAACAATAGATCTACCTGAAGTGACAACATTAATTAATATCAACCACAATTTAGAAAGAGTTCCAACAATTGTTACTTTTGTGGAGTCTATGACCCCAACTGGAAAGAGAAATTATACTATTAATTTAAAGGTATGGTTAGTGAAATTTTTATACATTAAAAGAAATTATTTTGTAATTAATTGTAAATATTTATTATAGGACCCAACTGCCATGATTGGTGCAAGCTTACATTACAAAGTTAAGCAACACCAACAATATGGGGAAGACATTGTTGTGGGGTGTGTGTTAGTTCTGAAACAGGTAATATTTGTTGTATAATATTAAATTATATGTTATTTATGTGTTGAATTGAATTTGTTTTTTTTTTCTTCAGGTTGTCGTGTTTGCCCCCAACCGTTTCCGTGGTCCTTACTTCCTTAATATAACTAAAAATAATGTACAACGGGTGAGTAGTGTTAGTCAAATATAATTTATTTTGTAACTAATATTGTTTAACAAATGTATGTTACATTTTTTGCAGGTTATTCCGAAGAATATTTGATTTAATGAGGAAAAAATATTTGTAATTTAGTTTTATGTTTATTTCTAGTTAGGATGGTTGTAATGTAATTTTTTATGTGGATTGTAAAATTTAAATTTGGGGAATATTATTATTAAATATTGGTAAAATTATGCACTTCAGTTAGTAATATGTATTTGTTGTTGTTTTGTAATTGTGTAATGAAAAAAAATGGTTAAATTATGCACCTGAACTGGAGATCAACTCGCCTTTGTCGACGACTTAGCCCTTTTCCTTCTTGTCGACCTGCCCCAATGTGCTCCACCTGAATTGCGTCTGGTTGTGGTAATGTTGCAGCTGGAGCCGGTGTAAAAGGGAAACTCACCCTACTCACCTCGTCTCGCAACTGTAAGCAGTGGCCGATCCTCTCATGCATCATGGTAAAATAAAAAGAATCTCTATGTTCTTCACTGGTCCCATGATACATGTGTTCCAAAACATCGGTCTACAAATAACATAACAAATATCATCAGAACACTACATTTGTAAATATGTCACAAGTAATTATTTAAATACATCCCTAGATTTGTACTCACCACATATCCTTCCTTTGCACTAGAAGGAGAAATTCATCGCCTTGTATGTTTCCTATACCACACCATGTATTCTGAGCTATTGCTCAAGTGTGGTGTATCACACGCAGGTTGTGTCCATACACGATGAAGTCGTGATTGCCACTCTTGCACAAATTGAACTTGCATGCGTGACCAGTCCATGTTATCCTTGCCTCTCAAGGAAAGATCATGCAATTTCTCTGGATGAATAGGAGGTGCAGGAATGTGTTGGACCATCCCAAATTGTTGAATGACACGATCTGCGTAATGATACTCGGGTGTGTGTTAGTTCTGAAACAGGTAATATTTGTTGTATAATATTAAATTATATGTTATTTATGTGTTGAATTGAATTTGTTTTTTTTTTCTTCAGGTTGTCGTGTTTGCCCCCAACCGTTTCCGTGGTCCTTACTTCCTTAATATAACTAAAAATAATGTACAACGGGTGAGTAGTGTTAGTCAAATATAATTTATTTTGTAACTAATATTGTTTAACAAATGTATGTTACATTTTTTGCAGGTTATTCCGAAGAATATTTGATTTAATGAGGAAAAAATATTTGTAATTTAGTTTTATGTTTATTTCTAGTTAGGATGGTTGTAATGTAATTTTTTATGTGGATTGTAAAATTTAAATTTGGGGAATATTATTATTAAATATTGGTAAAATTATGCACTTCAGTTAGTAATATGTATTTGTTGTTGTTTTGTAATTGTGTAATGAAAAAAAATGGTTAAATTATGCACCTGAACTGGAGATCAACTCGCCTTTGTCGACGACTTAGCCCTTTTCCTTCTTGTCGACCTGCCCCAATGTGCTCCACCTGAATTGCGTCTGGTTGTGGTAATGTTGCAGCTGGAGCCGGTGTAAAAGGGAAACTCACCCTACTCACCTCGTCTCGCAACTGTAAGCAGTGGCCGATCCTCTCATGCATCATGGTAAAATAAAAAGAATCTCTATGTTCTTCACTGGTCCCATGATACATGTGTTCCAAAACATCGGTCTACAAATAACATAACAAATATCATCAGAACACTACATTTGTAAATATGTCACAAGTAATTATTTAAATACATCCCTAGATTTGTACTCACCACATATCCTTCCTTTGCACTAGAAGGAGAAATTCATCGCCTTGTATGTTTCCTATACCACACCATGTATTCTGAGCTATTGCTCAAGTGTGGTGTATCACACGCAGGTTGTGTCCATACACGATGAAGTCGTGATTGCCACTCTTGCACAAATTGAACTTGCATGCGTGACCAGTCCATGTTATCCTTGCCTCTCAAGGAAAGATCATGCAATTTCTCTGGATGAATAGGAGGTGCAGGAATGTGTTGGACCATCCCAAATTGTTGAATGACACGATCTGCGTAATGATACTCGACGATGTGGAAATTAATCAATGGGACAGTTGACCTCCATACTTGTGAGTCCTCAAAACAGTAAGGAGGTAATGTAGGTAGTAACTCCAAGTATGGTTGCCATACAAACTGCAAAACAACATAACAAATAAGTAGTTAGCAATTATCATTTATAATTACAATTTTTTAATATAAATCTTCAATAAAATATTAAAAATTAAAACTTACATCCTCTCTTTTTAAACGGTCAAAATACTCTCTATACTTCACAATTTTATCTTTTGTTTCCTCTCTAGGTTTATGCAACGCATAATTCCACCTGTTATAAAAACAAAAAAACTATTAATTCTTCAATATACAAATTAATTCTAAATATATTTATTCTTAAATCGATCACAAGTAATATAGTTACTAACCTTGCCCCTAGAGGAACATGGAATGTAGATAAAGGTGGATGAGGTGGTGCAAGAAATGGAAACCGATACCATGCCCATAATTGAAGTAAAATACCTGAACCACCAATTTCCTTGTGATCATAATTCGTGCACACGCACAACTCCCTGTACATATTCGCTAGGACGCATGACCCCCAACTCATTTGACCACAAACATCCAAGTCTTCTAGGAAACTCAGGTATCTGAGGGATACAAACGAGCTAGAGTGATCAATTAATAGATATCCCCCGATTATGTGTAAAATGAACGCTCTAGTATAGCGGTCCAACTGTTCCTGGCTATGTATATGCTCAGAAACATTAGAAAAGTGTCGGTCAATCCAGGTCATCCTCAATCGACCGCTAGCAAGCATTGAATCAGGGGGTGTCATGCCAAGAAGGCGCTGCACAAGAGCTCCCCAATCCATAGTTGCGTATCTAGTAATGGGTGCCCCGGAGATCTTCAACCCAAGTAACATTGCAACATCCTCTAACGTGATAGTACACTCGCCGAAGGGCATGTGAAACGTGTGGGTCTCTAGTCTCCATCGCTCAACTAACGCAGAAATTAAATGATTGTCCACAGGAAAGTAACTGATATGCGCCATCCCCATAAAACTAGCCCTCTATAGAAGATCCTGAATAGCAGCTGGAATCTCAACACCACGCAACTCTGATTGTGTTGCTCTCCTAACCTTCAAAACCCTATCTTCAGCTCCTTTCCATATATGCTCAGATATATGGAATGGTTGAAGCCTTAATAATGAATCGTCGATAGGTCCTGCATGAATCATCTGTGTAGACATCATGATATAATTAAACAAACAAACAAATTAAATATTAAACTCAAACAACTAATTACTTATAAATTTTATAAATGCCTAATTTAATCCCTCATAATAATTCAAAATTTTCAATTGAAATCCTTCATGATTGCAATCAGAACGGCCCGTTCTGAAATCAGAACGGGCCGTTCTCATTTCACAAAACGTGTCTTAAATTGGGTTCTAGAACGGCCCGTTCCGAAAGCAAAACGGGCCATTCTGATCCCTTCCATTTTTCAGTAAACCAAACAACCAGAACGGCCCGTTCTACTTTCAGAATGGTCTGTTCCAGATCCAAAATAACAACCAAATTGTTCAATCATAACGACCCGTTCTGTTTTCAGAACGAGCCGTTCCACACCCAGAAACCATTAATGAATCAGCCCTAAACATTTTTTATTTAAATATTTATTTCTAAATTTAAATAAATATAGTACAAATCGTACCTGATAACAACGTGCAAAAATAATTTTGTGGGGCAATAAAATTTTTCAGAACGTAAGTGGTAGAAGCGTTTTCTCAGAGCGCCGGGAGTACAAGCGTTTTCTAAAAAAAAACATATCTGAGCCTCTACTCTCGGACTCACATTTAAACAGAAAATGGGGGAAGCTGTGCCACGTGTCAAATGCTGAACAAATGGCGCCTCCTCCCCTGCCCTTTCTTTTCCAACCTGCCACGTGTCATTATGTAAATAGAAGGCGCCTGGGGGGAGGTTCTTTCTGAAAAACGCCTCTCCCTTGCTCTTTCTTTTCCACGTGTGCCAGGTGCCACGTCACCCATACAAGGCGCATGTAGGGGAGGCTTTTTCTGAAAAATGCCCTCCCCCTGCGTTTTCTCATCCACGTGACGCCACGCTGTCCGAAACCACCTACTTTGATAAATTGTTTTTTTTTATAATTATTTTGTGTATTTTTTATTTATTTTTATTTATTCAGGTCAAAAAGCCACTTTTTTGTTTCTTAATTAAAATATTTGTTTCTCTCTTCGTATTATTATTCAAAATCCCGTTGCTGTATGCGCCAAATCTAGGGTATTACAAAAACTAATAAAAATATTACTGTTACAACTATATAAGACTTGTCACTTTTGCAAAGTTTCGTAAGTTTCTAATTCGAGTTTTGTATACGAAAACAAGAATAGTTGGGAGAGAAGGTGGTTATGTTATTCGACAAAAGTTAATCAATAGCAAAGTTGGTAAATATTTTTTACTAATAGCTTTTAAAAAAATTCAATAGTATTTTTCAGTATTGTGTATAAAAAATGTGGTGGTGATTGTGGTTGTAGTCGTATTCCAATTAATAAGTTGCACTCCATATTAATAGCATAGTTAAAAAAAAAATAGTGATACTTTTTTGGGATTAAAAAAATTGTGTGAAGTTTTGAATTGGATAATATTTTTATTTTGTATTCTTGAACTTAAAGGAAGATAATTGCAATTTAGAAGATAAAATACAATAATTATTATTGATTAAAAAATCAACTATTGATATTATTAATTTTAAATTTTATTTTGCAAGAATTTGATTTTAAAACAAATCTTGATTTTATAATCAATTATAAGTGCATTTTATCTCCTAAAATACAATCTTTCTTCACTTTAGAATAAAATCCATTGTTCTTTGCTTGATTTAAAACAAAATCATAAGCGAAGACAAATAAGATTAAAAATTGATAAAGAAGAGTAAAATATATATTTTTTTACTCAATATATTATAGACAACTTTTTATTTCAAATACAAAACATTCAAGAAATAAAAATTCCTCTTGTTATTATTATCTAATTTTTATCAAAATTGTCATCCGTTATTGTCATCATTGTTGTTATGCATGTTTTTCTCTTATATGTTATTCATTTTATTTTAAGTATTTTTAAGAGTTAATGATGTTTATGTTTTATAACATTGGTTAATGGATTAGTTTTTATTGGAGGTGCTTTATTTCTTTAGCTAGATTTATTTTATAAATTATTTTATTTCAACTATATTATTTTTTATTTAACAAAAATATGCCTTTTCAAGAAATTAACCACCATTTTAAAGTCATTGGTTAGTAGAGAGGAAGAGATCTTCTCATGTAAAAAAAAAAAAAAAAAAACTTTGAGATTTTGAATTAAATCTCATCCTTCATTTTACTAAATTACTGCTTTATTATAAAAATTTATTATATTAATAAAATTTATTGAATGGATAAATCCAATCATGTAAAAATATCACATGAAAGAATCATTCACGATGGTAGAGCAGAAACCTTCACCCGTTTTAACTCGTAGTTCACAACCACAAGCTATACAAGTGTCCATAGGAAAATGTATATTACCCTATAAAATCTTTGTCTCATAAATGAGTTTGCATCTGGTATATTCCTGATTGGATTACTTTCATTGCAATTCTTTCGCCTCTATAATGTCCATCATAAGGTGATGAATTATATTGAGTGAGAATGGTGTGGCTTTCTTCCATAAGAACACAGCCAGTGGTTTTCAATGTTAGCATAATAAGGACAAGGTTGTGTCACAACTGTGAATAATTGCTCATTTGGAAATGTTTCCTTGATGAGCAAAGGTTCCTTTATTTTAAGTATTCTATGTTTTCAAGTCAAGACACGTGGTCTGCAACTTGTTTATTAGTCTCCTTATTTATGTCAAATTTCCAAATTAAATTGTTGCAGCAAAATAACCCAATTTTCAAATCATGTGTGGAAATGAATCCCACATTTGTTGAAAAGTGACAGGTACGGTGCAAAATCATCTACTTCTCGTATCCCAGGTGAGACAGGTTTAGCTCCATCTGTACATTATTCTTGTTTTATTCCTAAGGTGATATTACAAGATTGTCAAGATATTATATCCCGAATTTTCTAAATTTAGTCCCTGCGTTGATTAAGAATTGGATTCTACATCCTAATTCGAAATTGTTGTCCTTTTTCTTTAATAGAATTAGAATTAGAATTAGAACTGGATTCCTGATTTCCTGTCCAGCAACAAGAACATCACATCACAACGCAATTAACAAAACATGCTTCTGGTTCTGGGGTTATGCCCAACATTTAAATAGACTTTATCATTAAAATTTAAGAAAGTATTTCTTTTTAAATTTTAGAATGTATTTTATATATATTTCTTAAATGTGTAATTAAAAAAGATAGATAAAAATAAAGACAATTATATACAATATCATTTTTTAATTTAAAATAATGAAACTGAAATTTTAGTACCAAAGAACCCATTCGGCTGAACATGTAGGTCGTGTGTTTATTATTGACAAGGCGAATGCTAGCCCAATAAATAAATGATTTATAGGAATAATCGCTCGAATTCGACCATGAAAATGTCCAGATTACCATTTTCTGAAGAATAAAATTGAACCCCTGAATTCTATTCTCTAAAAACATATATAACTAGACAGAATTATTCAACAGTTAGTGGTGAGTAACGCAATATATGAAAGAGTGAGAAATCGAGGTAAAAACTGAACTACATGAAAGCAGAAAAAAAAAAAGAAGAAAAGAAAGTCATACCAGCCATTTCTGTTTTTGATTTTTTTAAATACTTGTTTTCAGAAACAACCTTTAAAACTTAAAATGAACTTTAGATGAGAAATTAATTGCTGGCCGGAAATTATTCTATAAAAAAAATTAAAACAAAAAATAAATCAAGCAGAGGCCCTTGATAATTTTCTTTTGACTCAGGTTAATATAGGCCCTTAGTGGCCCATAGAGAAAACGACTCATACTATGTTAGGTTGATTATGTTAGGTTGATTATGTTAGGTGTGTCGTGTGATATCAAATCCAACACTTAAAAAATCATTTTGAGCAAATCACGGAAATGGAAGACAGGTTCACATACCTAAGATAACATATCACGAGTTATCTTCTGAATCATATGTAACACTAGCCACTTGGGTTGGGTGCAATGCCTATATGTATATTAAGCTTTTGAAAGATTACATGTCAACAGAAAATGAGAAATCGAGTTCTAAAAAAGAGGTCAGAGCTACCAACTGGAATAGAAAGTTTACAACAGGAAATTAGGGTCAGTGCCTGATGGTGAGTTCAGCTCTAAGGTGGAGGACACCATTGATGAAGTAAAGACTATCCTCAGCCGTGAACGAAGTCCATGGAATAGCAAACAAGTTTCTATATCCAACGGCCTTTCCCCCTGTGAACACATAGTTCCCTTTGTACTTGCTAACAAATTCCTCTGTTGGCCTAGACCTTGCAGCAAACTCATAGTCAACGGCAAAGCTTACTGAGCCCTTTTCCTGCATTCCCAAAAACAGCCCAAAGCAATGGAAAGAGCTCTGTTGGTCCATGTTGCAATGTGCTGATAGAAAAAAACCTTGTCCACCCAAGTGGAATGCCTGAGAATAAACCCGGCCACATGGGAACAAGTTGGCACACTCCTCCCTCTTCAGATCCAAGTACACCACACATTGCTGCCGAGGAAGTTCAAATTCTACCACCTTAACGGGCCGGTACTTGTACGCCCTCTCCACAAAGCGACGGTATGAAGAAGCAGAGTCTTCTGCTGCCAGTGATCGTTGCCGATGTGGAGCCTCTGCTTTGAAAAATAGGCCCTCGAGTACAAGCTTGGATGCAACATCATGGTCAAAGTCAGAGCAGGTCAAGACCTTCTTAAGCTTCCGGCAGGTCATGTAAGGGAAACGAATTAATCGTGCAAGCCGTGCACCCAGGACTTCTCGCCTTTCTTCCAGTTTGGGGTACTGCTGTCGAGACCACTTCAACACAAAGTCATATACAGCATCTTCAGATGCAACCTGGAGATCGTCGCTAGACAATATTGCCTCTACTCCAGCTAGGGGCAAGGCCATGACCTCTTCCTGGAATCTGGTCATATGCAAGATTTATTATCATTCAAAAAAAAAAATGATACTAAGATGAAAACAATGAAAAATGGCAACAAAAGAAACAGGTGTTTTCCAAAAGAATGGATAATTAGAATAAAGTATTCCATATAAGCGAGAAAAATGCTTTCCAAAAGACTCTACAGTGGGATTACACAATAGTAAAAGCCTCTCTATAATGTTCATAACCTATTAGTAGCATGTTTGGTTGGACACATATCTAAAATGGGTAAAATCATGTCCAATGTAAAAAATGCAGAAGCTACAATTGAGAGTTTCAGTGGAGACATGTACATTAGGTCATTCAAATGCTAGACCAAACACTATAAGTTAATTAACGAAAAGTAGCAGCCATCCACCAGCAGTATCCAATTATTAGATGCAACACACACAAACATTGGAGTCACTTCTTTGAATATGTATTTTTTTTTTTCCGAACTCTTCCTAATCTCCAACAAGAGCAATGGAAAGAAATTTAAAAAAAAAAAGAGCAGCTATTGAAATCAAAATTTTAATACCAACAGCTAATAAAGGAGGCAGGATGAAGAGGGACTATATATATATAATGCCACTTGATACAAGTAAAAAAACCAGATCAACACAAGGGTTTGTTTGTTATGGTTGAGTATCAGACAATGTGGTTGAAATTAAAATAACAGGGCAAACACTTACTTAGTTATATCCTTGTATCGACCAGCCAGATACTGCTTTGCAGCATCAGTCAATGGTTGGACTGCATCAGCCATTAAGACACTAGAAGGAAGCTCCAGATAAAGCAATGCAGAGTCAGGCGTCATTGGCATATTCCGCAATAACCTGCTGCAGTGTCTCATGCATGAAGCAACTTCAAATTTATCAGCAGCCATCAACACATCCAGTAAAGCTGGTGCTGTAGTAGTGCTCAAGGTATTGCTGTACATAAAATTCAGTAGCTCCATGAGAGCAGCTTCCTCTGCAACACAAAAAGAAATATGGCATTTGTAAGGTAACCATTACAGGGGAAACAGAAACAATTGCACAAAAGAAACTAAAAATCTTATTCATATGCTCATACCAGAGGCATTAATTCTGAGGGTGACATGTCTCTGCTCAGACTCCCTCATCCCATTTGAGAAAAGCTGCAAGAAGTAAAAACACACAGCTAAGCAAACATATTTTTGGCAAAAGTATTCAAATGCTGCCCTATAAATCGAAAAATCTTCATCTACCTTATAGAAGAAAGGACTTTTAGCAGCCAAGATAGGCGAACTGATATGCAGCGTTTTAACTCTAACAACTGCACCTGAAGAGCAGTCCATGCTCCAGTCCGAATCATTACTATTTGTAGCTTCATCACCTACATTAACCACACCAAACTCAAAAGTGTTCATAGAGCAGAACAGAGAACTTTGTACTGAAAGAAAGGAATCAAGGATATCCATATCTGTTTCCTTGTTACACACAAGGGGAGAATGTTATACTTTATGGTAACACTAACACAGATTAAGTGCATGTTTGATTCCCTTCTCATTTTTTTGTTTTAAAACCATTTTCTAATACAATTTCACACTACTGAGCAATCAATTTCACATCCAAAATCTATTACGTTTTAAATAATTGTATTACAAACAAGTATTTTAAAAACCAAAAAAGACCTAGTGGAGATGTTTTCTCATCTTCTGTTCCCAATCCCATCTTGTTCATTCTCTCCCTCAATTCTACACTCTGCACTGTGACTAACATCACCCAACACCTACTATCTGAACAACCATATTTAGTCCATTTTGAAAACTAAAAATAGTTTTTGAAAACAGAAATCAAACACACCCTAAGTAACCCAACGGGTTGGCATGACCTTTTCAGTAGGAATTCCGATTTCAATTCTTGCCAGGAGTGAAAACCCTTTGTGTCGGCGACAATCACAGTACCACAAGCAAAATTAATTTCGCCCAGTGGGCTGGAAATATCCGTAGCAGAAAAAAAAAAATAAAACACTAAGATTTTCAATGTATTAAACTCAAATACCAGAATGGGGTTCTTCAACCATCGCAACAGCCTCTTCATCTTGATTTTCACACTCATCCACATCAGGCTGTTTCTCTTTCAAAATTTGCTCGTCTGGCACCGAAGCAAGATCCGCACCTGCAACCAAACCAGCACATATACATATTAAGCACAGCATGAAAAAACATCCACTTTCACGCAAACAATATCCAACATACCCTATCAAGTAAAAACAAAATCAGAAACATTACTAATTCCTACAAAAACACACACAATTTCCATTCCCCATTTTAACACTTACAAGGTCCCTTTAAGTAAAAAAAAAATATAATAATAATAAAAAATCAGAAACATCCTCAATCCCTACAAAAACACACAATTTCTATTTCCCATGTTAACCCTCCCACGGTCCCCTTTTCTATCCAATTTGAGAAAGCACGTCGCACGTGCACAATCACAAGCATTCCTACTTCCAGCAGTGAACAAGTCCACAAACCCTAGAAGAATTTGGAGTAAAAGAAGAGAGGGTACCGGTGTCCCTTTTGATATCCTCGCGGCGGCGCTTGCGGTGGCGAGCCCAGTCGGCAATGGTGGCGCAGGTGTCGGAATCGCGTGGGGCGTCGACGGGGTCGGACATGATCTCGATCCGGAGAAGCCTGTCGGAGAAGTTACTGTCGTTGAAGGCGAAGGCGAAGTCGGCGTCGGAGGTGGAACCGCCGCGAGACCACTCGGACTCCATCTTGATGACCGGGTCAAACAGATCCGAATTCAAATCCTTCATGTGTCTGAATCCAACCAAGATAATCAAAATCCAAATACCACAAAATGGTTTCGCTTTTCAAAGCTTTATTACACAATTAAATAAATAAAAATTAAGTTTTTTTTTTTTTTTTTTTTTGTTGAGGCGGTGGTGAGGTGTGAGGTGGGATGAGATGAGAGACAAAGTGTAACAGACAAGCACTCACAACAATAATGATATCGAAGATATTCCAATCCTCATTCATATATATATATCATAGAGAAATTTGTTTATTGTAAAATTTATTTTGTTTAATAATTTATATTTTATATTAAATTTTAATAAATTAATCGTTAAATTAAAAAAATTTATTAAATTATTTTTAATTTTTTTAAAATTTAACATATATATTACAAATTTTAAATTTAATATTTTGACGTGAAATATAAATTCTTAAATTACTCCTAAAATTAATAAATAAACAGATTTTTCTTTATATATACATTTATCTTTTTTAAGTTCTTTGTCGGCCTGTTACTTTTCTTTTTCATTTTCTTTCTTTTAATTTTTATCATCTCATATATTATTCTATATATAAGAATTAAAATATAACATTTTATTTATTAAAATTTAAAAATAAAATTAAAAAAATTATAACCAAAATGTAGAGTAATTAAACATTTATTATTTAAAATTGATTTGTTTGTAATCTTCACGTTTTTTTTTAATTAGTGCTTCAATTATTAATTAATTGAATAACGAGTATCCGTGTGCGCGCTAGCGAAGAATGGATCCTGCTGGAAATTATTATGAAGAGGTCAATCGAGGAGGCCAGTCATCTTTGGACTAGAATTGAGTTTTGAAACCGAAAATATTGAAATTCTGGTATCAAAGTTCATTCTTAATTTCTGCATCTAATTTTATATATTTTGTTTTAGCATATTTATTTATTACTAAGATGAAGGAAGTATTGTGTGTCTTACTATTTTTTCATAAAAAAATATATAATAGGTGATTTTTCTTTTAAAAGAAAGTATAAGTGTACACGAGAAATTAGGGAGAAGTTTATCTGAGAAGTCTATGGCGGGAAAAAAAAAGAGAGAATAAAATAAAATAGGTTAAAAATCTATTTTAGTTCTTTATAATAATTGTTTGTTTCAATTTAGTTCCATTTTTATTTTTGAACTTAATTTGGTCCTTAATAAATTAATTGGTTGTAATGTTAGGCTTTTGTCCAAATTATTTAGACGGAGTTAACTGTTAGCCACGTGGATGCTACGTGGATGTCACGTAGAACTTACATAGATGTCACATGGATGTCAAATTTTTGTCATGCATCTGGAACCAGAAATGGCCCGTTCTGAAACTGGAACGGCCTGTTCTGGTTTCACTCTTCGTGCGTTAATTTTGCATCCGGAACGGGCCATTTCGGATGCAAAATTAACACACCAGGAGTGAAACCAGAACGGGCCGTTCTGGTTCCAGAATGTCACACATACAGTTAATGATTATATCCATAAATTTTAGATCGTGATGACAATACTTATTCATATATTTGTAATATTAAAAATTTTATATATAACTTTTTTAAGTATAAATATATACTATAGTTATTTTTTACAAGTTTTTATATCTACAATTATGATTAAGGATGAAAATAAACTAGGTCAGATTATGTTATATTATAATTTAACAGATTTAAACCTAATTTTTGTTAAAGAATACATGTTATAAATATTATATATTTATCTGTCATAGACATTTTTTAAAATGTTTGGTTACATAACAATCTTAAAAACTTACTTAATAATAATTTAACACTAATAAAAACATATAAATAAATATGTTAAATCTTATAAAAATTAAGTTTAATTTAATTTTATACATATAATAATATAAATATATATATATATATATATATATTAGAATATAATTTTTATTTTTAAAATATTATTTTTTAGATAAAAAATTTGTGTATGTGTAAATGGTTTGCTTTCGATTTTTGAACCACACTGGTGCACAATGTTGGTTGGCGTTCTGAATCTAGAACGGCCCGTTCTGAATCTAGAACGGCCCGTTTTGGATTCCAGAACGGCCCGTTCTAGTCTCAAAACGGTCCATTCTTCTGCACGCGTTGGTGTTAAATAGTGCATCTAGAACGGGTCGTTGCAGATGCAAAATTTACACATCATGAGTGCAACTGGAACGGGCCGTTCCGGTTTCAGAACGGGTCATTCTGGTTCCAGATGCATGACAAAATTTGACGTCCACGTGGCATGTACGTAGCTTCCACGTGGCATCTACGTAGCTTCCACATGGCATCCACGTGGCCAACAGTTAACTCCGTCTAAATAATTTGGACGGAAGTCCAACATTGCAATCAATTAATTTATTAGGACCAAATTGAGACCAAAAATAAAAGTGGGACTAAATTGAAACAAAGAATTATTATAAGGGACTAAAATATTATTTTAGCCAATAAAATAAAATAAGGGATGGAAGAAGTAGTGATAAGAATACAATAGTTTAAAAATTATATATACTAAAAGAAGAAATTATTATTTTTAATTTAATTCTTTTCATCTATTATTATTAGTATAAAAGAAATATTTTGTGTCTCTCTATATTTTAAATAATAATAATAATAATAATAAAAGACAAAAAATATAATGAAGTTGGTCATTACTTAAAAAGTGAAAAAATTTTGAACTGTAAAATTTATGTGAGTGATTTAGAAGTGATTATAAAAGGGCAAAATAATCCAAAACGTATACAAGGAAAAAAGACACCTTTTTTTTTATAACTAGTAGAATGCCTTTATTGTTGAGAAAATAAAAAGAAATAGGTGATTATCAATTAGTTACATAATTATTGAAAGTAAAAAAAATATAAACTAAATAAGAATAGTGTAAGAGAGATAGTGAAAGAGAGTAGTTTAAAAGTTGTTATAATGACAATAAATCAAGTTATCGTTTTTATATATATTATAAATTATTATTATTATTATTATTATTATTATTATTATTGTTATATTATTATTGTTATTATTAGTTTAAAATAGACAATTTGTACTTTCATGTATTTTTCAAAAAAATAAATATAAATATTATAAAAAAATTAAAGTTAAATAAATGTAAGCAAATGAGTAGTTATTTATAAAGTTTGAGAAATTTGAAAAATAAATTTATGAAGAAGTAGATAAAAACTACTAACTTCATTTTAATTTATAAGATTCAACTTAAAAACATTGTATATTCTTTTATTTAAGACTAAATTGATATTGTTTCGTATATTAATTATTTTTAGACTAAAATACCTTTAATTGAAGTTTGTTCTCTGAATTTGATAAAATGCATTAATTATAATCTCTTCAAAGAATATGCACTCTAATTAATTAGGAGAAAGATAAACATTTATTAAAAGAGAGAAATAATATGAAACATGCGCTCTAATTGGTTAGAAAACATATGAATATTAATTAGAAAAGAGAAGTATTATAAGGTCATTTTTCAAAAAAAAATATAAATAAGACAAAATTATTATTATCAACTAAATTAACTACTTTTTTTAATCTTGGTGAATGAGGTAATTGAGTCTTATATATAGAAAAAAGGTAGTAAATAAAAATATATTAGAGAGAAATAGTATTTTAAAAGTGAAGGCATAAAATAGTCATAAGAATGTGTATACTAAAAAGGCAAGTCACCTTTATTTATTAATTAATAGTATAAATTAGTAGGAAAAAGAGGTGTCCCTCTATTTTATTTTTTGGTAAAGTCCCTCTGTTTTTTAAAAAAGAAAAAATTGACTTGAAAATAAAAACATTTTCTAGCTTAGGTGTAACACCCCGAATTTTCTACTAATGTAATATTTACTATTATTTATTTTATATTTATGAAGATTAATTTCTTATAGTTGTTTAAGTTAATTAAAAGGGTTTTTATAAAATATTGTAAAGGTTTTTAATAATTTAATTATTTGTGAAAATTTTTGTAAAATTCTGTTTTCCTTACGCCGGAACGGGCTGTTCCACAAGTGGAACGGGCCGTTTCAAACAAAGAAAATATGTTATTGTTGAAGCAGCAGAACGGGCCAATCCAAGGTAGAAAAGAGGCCTATTTGGATTTTTCCAGAACGGGTCGTTCCCAAAGGGAAATGGGCCGTTCCGGAATTCTAAAAATGACTAAAATGTTTAGTTAGAAACGGGGCGTTCCCAATTATGGCAACCTATGCTAAATGGAACCCCAGAACGGGCCGTTCTAGTTTTAGAACGGGCCGTTCTGCTTTTTGAAAACAGGCCGTTCCGATTTTAGAACGTGTCATTCCAGTTGAGAATTTTACGTATATTTGAAGGATCCGGAACGGCCGTTCCGAATTCAGTACGGGCCGTTCTGGGTACACCAGGATGCCTATAAATAGGGGCAAGGAGGGTGAAAAATTTATACTGAGTGATAAAGTAAAATCTTAGAGAGAGAAAGAGAAAGAGAGAAAAAAAGAGAGAGAAAGAGAAAGAGAAAGAAAGAGAGGGAAAGAGAGAGGGAATCCAGAGGAGGAGGTCTTGCCCAAGTTTTAGCTCTGCTTATCCAGGTAAGGGGGGAGTGAGAAACCTCGCTCGGGAGTGTGGGGATAATTGTTGGATATTGTCGGATTGGCCCCCAATCCCTTGCCTGTTGTTCTGTTTTACTTTCTATTTGCTCTACTTTGTTCTTTGTTGGAAGTAATAAATGAATATGTGATTAATGCTAAAAATAAATAAGTTTTAATATGAATAAGAATGCTTTCTGTGGATCTCTGTAAATTCCTGTGCAGACCTTATGAGGAGTATTTATGACATGACCATGTGAAATATGGACAAATGACATGAGACATAAGAATGGACTATCGAGACAAGCTATGATTATGAGACCATGAAAAATGATGATATGATGTATTAAATGAAATTATGTAATAAGTTAAATGTTGAGTCAATGAAATTATGACTGTATGACATGCATCATATGCATATATGACTCCAGGTGTGCCGCTGAGGCCGCATACCAATGATGCTAACAAGGTGTACCTTAGGGTCACCCACGACTAACAAGGTGTACCTTAAGGTCACTCACGACTAACAAGGTGTACCTTAGGGTCACCCACGACGTAACATGCTAACGAGGTGTGCCTTAGGGTCACCAGTGATGTAACCAAGTGTACCTTAGGGTCACCAATGATGATATGTGAAACTTTCATATGGCGCCACATGCATGCATTTATGAGTCGAGTCCATGACATCATAGCATGATAAATGAGTATATATGTGATATTTATTATTTATGTGTATTGTTTACATGTGACTTATTTATGTTTTGTGTGTGTATGTGCTATCTAATCTTTATTTCTGCACCTGAAACTGAGTGAGATGTTTCTCACTCCCTTGTTGTTCTTGTATATGTTTAAATTATGTTGCAGGTGATCATGATGTTGGTGATGAGGCTTAAGGCTTCAGTTGGACATGCTCTGATAGGATGTGACATCGGGGCTTAACTAGCTTAGTCTAATATGTTATTGTTTTAATAACTTTAGTTTGTTTTCTTTTGTAATTTATAGCAAAGAAATAACGTAAATAAAGTTTGTAATCTTTCTTTTGTAATTTTGAATGTCCTTGATAAAAGATCAAAATGTGCACTTTATCATATTATTTTTATTACATGATTTGAAGGTTATAAATTAATTCCTAACTGGGAGGCACTACCACCTTTGCTGAAATTAATCTATACTTTTCTTTATATGATTTCTTGAGTTTTGATACTTACATGTTGACTTTTATGATTTAGGAGTTACGAATGTGAACCTTCTACCTTATAATATTTGAGACAAATATTTCATCCATAAAAGAGGTGGTCAATTATGAAAGATTTTATTTACTCAAGAAAAAAAAATTATTGTTTACATTTATTGTGCATTAATGTTGGGGTAGAAGGTGTCACATTAGGGATAACATGCAAACAATACTGGGATATTCATGTAATAAGATGTAGAACATAAAATATTTTTTTGTCAACCTTGACTTGAAAAAATAAATTCCCTATGAGGTTACAAACTAGTCTTGTACATATATGCATATACATGTAATATAGAAGTATTGAAAACACAAAGCTCTAGCACCGATCAAGTATTTCTACATAGATGATGTATCAAAACAACTCCACACACAAAATGCCATATCCAACATGGTCATCTAATTGTGCTCACCCTCCACCTAATCCTGACATGCTCCTATACAAAGTATAATTACAATAATTCAATAAATGAAAAAGTAAGGGTAAGCTTGTAAAAAAAAAACAACATATCATATAAGAAGTAATCAACTTCAAAAAACATGCACAACTTTAAAAGCATCATGACAACTTTAACAAATTTCAACTTGATCAATAAAACAATTTTCATAATTTAACAACTTAAAAAAACATATCAACTTAACAACTTATGCATCATCATACATTTTCAACTTTAGAAATCTCCTACAATATAGTGAATAGTCTAAGTGATTTTATCCTACCAAATCACAATGTCTACCTTGTCATCTCTAGGTCAACTATAGGCAACTTCAAACATTGTAAGTTGTTTAACAACTTATTTAGGTTTCTAAGATTTCACCACTTACACTAAAAAATCCAGTACTACTATTAGGAATAGAATAACTTAGAAAATCATTTAATATGCCTAATTTCATAAATAAATCATGTAAGTTTCCGATATACTCTTAAACCTTTTAGATTCCTACTAGTAATTAAATAATTAATTAATAATGATTAAAGATAAAATAAAAAAATATTTAATGTTACAATTGTAAAATGACACTCAAATTAAAATAAACAATAATTACTAAAATATCAAATAAAATGAAATAGAGAGAATAACATTTATTATCGTTTATTAGTATGTATAAAAAAAATATAGAATAACACTTATTATTAGATAGAAAGAGGTGGAGTATAAAAAGTTGGAAAGTTGGTGCTGATTAAATAAATTAACGGCCAACGAAATTTTTCGCTGCAAATAAAATATTTGTTTAGAGTCTCCATCCAATCTTACGAGGCTCATAATATATACACTTTTTGTTTTTTTTATAAGTACACCTCTTTTATTTTATTTTTTAAATTTATAAAATATTGTAGTTTTTTTTTAAATTTTTTAATTTTATACTTCCAACTTTCAATTTTTTACTTTCTTTTTTTTTTCACATACTTTTTTTTATAGTTTTTACATGCTACCAAAATAGGTGTGATGAACGAAAAGTAAGGAGATGCATGTAAAAATTAAAAAAAGGAAGGAAGATGTGTGAAAAAAAGTACTAAATTAAATATTGTAGATATAAAATTAAAAATTAAAGACAAAAAAATTAAAAATATTTTAGAAATTTAATTATTTTTTTTTAATAAGGAGGTGTACTTATAGACAAAAGGAGGTATATATATCATGAACCCACTTATGATCATGTAATCGATAGGCCTTATTTAGCCGAGCCCAACACTAGGCCCAGCAGATAAACCAATCAAGAGATGATACATGATGAGATAACAAAGAATACAGTTTCATTAACACCACCCATTTTCTAACTTTTAGGTTAATTAGGTATGTTCCCAGCTATATATCTAAAGTGGAAAATGCTAGCTCTATGAGAGTTATTATTTGTGGATTTGAGTGTGCTTATTGATACTCGAAGCACTGAACTGACATGATAGTTGAAGATGTTAGAATTAATGCTTCATGCAATATATAGTGTATATGATAAGTGCTTAATTTAGCATTTTCTTCCGTATATATAACGCAAGTCAACTATACATTGAATACAGCATCTTTGCAACAAAGTTAAAATATATATGAATATACTTCATGAAAATGCTGATTGATTTTATAAATAAAGTCATAATCCCCGCAAGAAGATTTTAGCTGAACATGCATTTGTAAGTCGATGTCTTTAAGTAAAAGGGTTTAATTAACTTAACAAAATTTCCACCTATACTTTGATCAAACTTGAAATTTTACCAAAACGAACGTGTTATTAAGATATTACGGATAGATTAATTTACGGAGTATTTGGTACGTGAAATGTTTTTATTTTTTTAGAATCTTAAATATGTAATCTTAATTTTTTATATTTGGTAATTATTTTAAATAAAAATATTTTTATGAATATAATTTTTTGAAATCATTTTTTTTTAATTTTCACACAAAATATTCCATGAGGGGGGTTAAGAATCTAAAATTTTTAAGTTAGGAAAAAAATTATATATATAAAAAGACCACAATATCTCTTTTTAAAACAAAATTTCTTTTCTTCTATTTTTCTTTCTCTCTATCTCCCTCCCTCTCTTTCCCCCTCTCTCTTCTCCCTTTCTTACTCTCTCTCTCTCTCTCTCTCTCATATTTCTATTTCTTAATTTCTCTTTCTCTTACTTATATTTCATTATTTATTGATCTTGTCAATTTTAATAATATTATTAAAATTTTTCTTGTTTGTACAGTTTAATGATATTTGTTAATATTTTTTTATTTGGATAAAATAGAATAATATAATTTTATTCTTCTTATTTATAATGTAATATTTTATTTATTTATTTCTTTTGTTAAATTCTATATTTAAATAATTTTAAATAAAATTTTTAAACTTTTTAAAATAATTTAATGTCATATTGTTACAGATAAATAATTATCTCAGTTTGTTTTTCTGTTAGATGATAGATGTGTTGATGGTTACATTCAGTTGGATTAGTTAGATATAAATAAGTGTGTCTTGTACATTTGAAGATAGTGAATGAAATTCAACTTTCAATAATTTCTCTTCTGAATCACTCTCTGAGAATTATCTCTATTCATGTTAACCATGTTTTTCTGCATGGTATCAGAGCCCCTTTCCTAGGGGCTTTGCTGCGCAAATCCAACTCTGAAACATTTCTTCTTCTCGTCGTTCTTGATTTCTTCTCTTCTTCTCTTCTCATCGTTCTTGATTTCTTCTCCTCTTCTTGCTTGAATTTTAATGGCGAATCAAGCAATTGATCCTTCAAATCCTTTCTACTTGCATTGAATGAGAATCCTGGAATTTCTTTGGTGTCAGTTCTATTAATCGGTGAGAATTACCATTCTTGGGCTCGAGCGATGACTATGGCACTCAAATCGAAAAATAAGTTGCAACTTGTTGACGGTTCTTTACCGAAGCCCGAAGTCGGAGATCCATCGTTCTTGGCATGGGATCGATGCAATACTATGGTGTTGTCATGGATCAATAAATCATTGGATGCCTCTATAGTTCAAAGCGTCATTTGGATGGAAATAGCCTATGAAGTGTGGAATGATTTACGTGAAAGATATTACCAAGGGGATATCTTTCGTATTTCTGAATTACAAGAGGAGATTTACTCTATGAAACAAGGAAACCTGTCGATTACTGCTTATTTCACTAGTTTGAAGAGCTTGTGGCAAGAATTGGACAATTTTAGACCAATTCCTCATTTTTCTTGTGCAGTTAGACGTAATTGTGATTTGATACCTACAGTGAAAGCTTATAGGGAAAATGACTATGTCATTAGGTTCTTGAAAGGACTTAATGAACAATATGCAGCTGTGAGATCACAAATTATGTTAATGGATCCTCTTCCTCCAATTAATAGGGTTTTTTCCCTATTAATTCAGCAAGAAAGACAGATGGGAGTACTGGTTGAAGATTCTCAAGTGCTAGTTAATGTAGTTGGTAGTTCAGGAAGAGGAAAATATAAGGGTCCTAGAGCACAAAACATGGGCTCGGGAGGAAGAGGAAATAGAGGGAGAGGACAAAGCACAAAGGTGTGCTCATATTGTGGTAAGACATGTCATTTAGTGGATACATGCTATAAGAAGCATGGTTTTCCCCCTCACTTCAAAAGGTCAAATGCCATCAATCACTATAGCACTAATGATGAAGAGGATGTTGATGATACTCAAATTATTTTTGCTTGAAAGGAAGTGGGGGAGAGTACAAGTATGATGTTTACTCCAGCGCAACATAAAGCATTACTTGCATTGCTACAACAATCAGGAAATCAAATTGGACATGCAGTGAATCAAGTAACTAGTTCTTTAAATCATCAATCATTCACAAAAACCTTAGGTATAATCCTTGCCTTGTCTCAAAATTGCAATTCCAGTTCTTGGATCATTGAAACAAGAGCTATAGATCATGTATGCAATTCCTTAAAGTTTTTTCAGTTCCACAAAAGAATTAAATCGATTCCTATTAAGTTGCCTGATGGGAGTCAAATTTGTACTCAAATCTCAGGAGCAATATATATGTCAAAAGACTTCTACCTGACAAATGTTTTGTATATTCCTGATTTCAGTTTTCATCTGATTTCAGTTTTAATCTGATTTCAGTTTCTAAACTAACAAAATCATTATCTTGTAAATTCACTTTTTCTGATTCTGATTGTCAGATTCAGGACTCCCACTCTATGAGGATGATTGGTGCAGCTAAACTGAAGTCAGGACTTTATGCAATGGTTCCCAATGATCAGTCAAACTTGGTACAACACTGTATCAACAATTTTTTTACGTATGATTTTGATCTTTGGCATATGAGGTTAGGTCACCTATCTCATGAGAAATTGAATATAATAAAGAATCTATACCCCCATATTGAATGTAATAAAACTACAAATCCTTGTGAGATTTGTCATTTAGCTAAACAAAAAAGATTACCTTTCAGTGATAGTGTGAATACTTCTGTGGAGTTTTTTGATCTGGTGCTTGTTGATATTTGGGGACCCTTGTCCATTCCATCTATTTTTGGTCATAGGTACATTCTAACCATAGTAGAGGATAAATCTAGGTTCACTTGGATTTACTTGATGAAACAAAAATTTGAAACATCAAACCTACTAAAGAATTTTGTTTCTTTAATTCATACACAAAAAAATAAAAATAAAAAATATTAGATCCGATAATGGTGTTGAGTTCCTTATGAAAGAGTGGTATGCCTCAGAAGGAATTAATCATCAAACTTCTTGTGTGGAAACACCACAACAAAATGGTATTGTAGAAAGAAAACACCAACACATTCTCAGTGTGGCTAGATCTCTCATCTTTCAGTCAAATCTGCCAAAAATTTTCTGGAACTATGTTGTCAGTCATGCTGTACACTTAATCAATAGAATGCCAACTAGGTATCTCAATAATAAATCACCTTATCAAGTCTTAATGAATATTTTACCTGAGATATCAAACCTAAAGGTTTTTGGATGTTTGTGTTTTGCATCCAACTTAACAACATCAAGAAAAAAATTTGACTCAAGGTCTAGGAAATGTATTTTTCTAGGTTTCAAAACAGGCACTAAAGGATACATTTTATATGATCTAAAAACAAGAGAAACCTTCATATCTAGAGATGTTATGTTTTACGAAAAATTATTTCCTTTTCATAATAATGATAACACTGCTAGTGTTAATAAATTAACACCCATTACTGTCATGAATCAAATTCCATGTCTAGCTGATGATCTTTTTGAGAACGATGAGATATCATTAAATCAAGGCTTAACTAATGAACAACAAAATGAGGGATCACATACGAGTTCCAATCAAAATGTAACCATTGAACCAGCACGACAGTCACAAAGAGTTAGGAGACCTCCCTCATATTTACAGGATTACCATTGCACACTGGCTGCTTCAGGAGCCACACCAACACTCAAATCTGTTAGGTATCATATTTGAAATTCACTCTCTTATGATTCATTACTTGATTCCCAAAAACATTTTTCTTTGGCTATCTCTTCTATTGTTGAGCCCAAAACATATTAGGAAGTTATTATTGATGATTGCTGGAAGGGTGCTATTGAAAGGGAACTAACAACATTGAGTAAAAATCATACTTGGACTCTAACCTCACTTCCTGAAGGAAAGAAGACTGTTGGGTGCAAATGGGTGTTTAAGGTCAAGAATAATTCGGATGGAAGTATTGAGAGATACAAGGCGCGACTGGTTGCAAAAGGATTTACTCGAACTACTGGGATTGACTATTATGTGAATATGATGAGACAATGTGAAAAGTGAATATGAGATATGAAATATGATAATATGTGACAATGAGACATGACATATGAGTAACTATGACATGTAAAGTGATGACTCCATGAAGCGTGAGTGTGTGAGACATGCATCATATGCATCTATGTGAAGGGTACGATATGGAGTACATCATGAGGAAAGGCCCTCCTTGTGTAACAGCTTGGGGGAGTCCTAGGGGATATTGCGGTTTGGATGTCTCGATTATGCCCGTTTATGAGGACGAGACGTAACTTGCGCAGCTTTGTTATCCTGACCAGACCCTAGTAGTACAACCTTCTAGTTGAGACTGTATAGGTAGCTCCTTACATGTACTCCTAGACTACCTTAGGTGTGTTGTTTAGGCAGCACACTGGTGATATGTGATATGTGATTAACACCACATGCATGCATTTATGAGTCGAGTCCATGACATCATTGCATGATAAATAAGTGTGCACGTGATACTGATTGTGTATGTGTATTGTTTACATGTGATTTGTGCTTTTGACTTGTATATATTATGTTTGTTGTATGTGTGTGTGCTGTCTAACCTTTATTTCTACATCTGAACTTGAGTGAGATGTTTCTCATTCCCTTGTTTGCTCTATGTGTATTTTTATTGTGTTGCAGGTGATCATCAGCATGAGGATGTTGGTGATGAGACTTAGGCTTCAATTGGGAGTGCTTTGATAGGATATGTGCCATCGGAGCATAGCTAGGACTAGTTTAGGACTTTAGTTTCTTTCTTGTTTGGAAAACCTTAACTTATTTCTTTTGTAATTTCTGCAAGTGAACTATGATTATGTATGTGAATGTGAATCCTTTACCTATTTGCTAATTGAGAAAGTTTTTATTCATTCAAATTTTATCTTACAATTATTGTGTATTATGTCGGGTAGAGGGTGTAACAAAAAAAAATAATCTACTTAGCTAAAAATGTCAATAACCGCAACAGATATAATCCACGCGGACAGCTTGACCCCTGTTAACTAAAATAACCATATCTAGAGTTCTAGACATCCATTTTGAGTGATTCCAAAGCCATTAAATATCTAATACCCAAAGATACAACTTTTGTGAAGAACATGAAGCCCAAAAATATTGTTAAGGTCACCTCGGATGTCTGACAACACAAAACTTAATCTTTCGCGCACTAGAATGGAGATTGAACTTATAACTCACATAAATCAATCAATTCTTAATATTTTTACACGATTCTAGAGACTAAATTATAGTCCCAAGTGTCTAATTTCTAACCCAACAAACGAAAATTGATTTCGCTAATCACACAAAATGATACCACAAAATTACTAAGGTATATGACAAGGAAAAATCTCACAATTACCCATCAATTCATATAATTAAGGGTGCTCATCAATCTATAAGAACCCTAACTTACAGAGCACATGCCAATGAATCCAATTATCATCTAGATCATCAATTTTACCAAATAATATAACAACCACATTTATAAACCAATATAAAACCTTATTGAATCATCAATTTTATAGAATTTTAACTCAAATAGTAAAATCCCCAATTTTTTCAAAACCTAACTCAGAGACACTTTTCTACAATTTATTTCTCTCTCCCAGATCATTATTTTACAAATTGTTTGCATATTCCTAATCCTCAATACATGCAAAATTTAATGGGATCATCAATTCATCAAACATAAATAATTATAAAATTACCCATAATCCTACGGGATTCCTCCTTTACCCTGTAACACCCCAGTTTTCAAAAAGGTTATTATTATTATTATTATATGGTATTTGGTCATAATTATTTTAATAATTATATAGGAATATTATTTTGTACGTATTAAATAAGTATTTTTATTAACATTTTTAAATAAATATTTATATGTTTTAAGAGAAGGTTGATTTTATATGATATTTTGTTATCGAAATTATATTATTATATTTTGGGTCAGAAATATATTATTATTATAGAGGAAAAATATTTTATAATATACATGTATTTATTTTATTTAATTATTTTGAGGAAAAAGAGAAGTGGGTTAGAAGAGAAGGAAAATGGGTTGGGTTAACCCAGTCCAATGGATTAATTTTAAGAAAGGAGTTAGGTAGCGTTAACCCTATCTGTCTCATTTGCGTTCTGAAGGGTTAGGAAAAAAAAGAGGAGAAACAAAGAGCTCTAAGGAAGAGTACTCAGGAACGATCTTAGATCACACTAAGACCATTTGTCTTCTGCTCATCCAGGTAAGGGGAGAGTGAGAAACCTCGTTTTGGGTGTGAGAATATATGTTGGGTAGTGGGATTGGCCCCCAATCCTGTGTTTGTTGTATTTGTTGTATGCTCATGTATGAGGGTTTTCCCAATTGTATCTGTTTCATCTATTGTTCCTCTTGTATGTAATTAATTGTATAAATTGCTTGAATGAATGATTAATTTCAGTTTTAAAATTGTAATTGTATGATTTGAGATTTTCGTGGGTTCCTACGGGAAACCCTATGAGAAAATTGGCAAAATATGAATATTTTCTGTTTTTCCTTCTGATTACTTTGTTTTGTTCCTTATTGGATGTGATGCATGAGTATATGGTTAATTTTGAAAATGAATATGTTTTTATATGAATTAGAGTGCTCTGTGGGTTCTTACGAGAAACCTATGAGAAAACGGGAAAAATATGAATATTTTTTGTTTTGCCTTCTGATTGCTTTGTTGTGTTCCTTGTTGGATGTGATGCATGAGTATGTGGTTAATTTTGAAAATAAATATGTTTTTATATGAATTAGAGTGCTCTATGAAAATTGTGAATATGATGTGATAATATGATAATGTGATATGGTGATGTGATGTGATGATGTGATATGATGATGTGACATGATGATGTGATATGATAATGAGACATGATAATGTGATATGATGATGTGAAATGATGATATGTTA